AGTAGTTGTGGCTGGAGAAAGTCTTGACATGATGCAGGTGTGGCTTCAGCAATATTGAGACCCTGGTTATTGCTGCTAGGGGAATTTCTTTAAAGTGATTCAGGTTCAGAAAGGTTTACAGCCCTCAGAATGGTCTTAGCACTCAACAAAAAGGGGGAGTGGGTGGCAGTAGAGAGGCATAAAGGATGGGGTCTGATGGCTGTCATTCCAAGGGCTTAACAGCTAACAGTTTTACTCTGGAACCCATCCTTCCAGAACATAAGGGGTACTTGCAACAAGACCTAGGAAGCTAGTGTTCTGAACAGTGTTTAATAAATCCCTTAACCCTAGCTACATGTCCTATGGAGGAATTCTCTGATCCACCTCTGTGTCTTTTGGGAGTTCTAATTTAGACTGTCATGCAGCTTTGCTAAAATGAAATGTGTGTTGTTTAAGATTCAGAATTATAGCCGGGCGTTGGTGGCGCACACCTTTAATCCCAGCACTCGGGAGGCAGAGGCGGGCGGATCTCTGTGAGTTCGAGGCCAGCCTGGTCTACAAAGTGAGTTCCAGGACAGCCTCCAAAGCCACAGAGAAACCCTGTCTCGAAAAACCAAAAAAAAAAAAAAAAAAAAAAAAAAAGAATTCAGAATTATTCTTTTGTCCTCTTCAGTAGGAATTTACTTGTTTTGGATAGACTTAGGCATAGTGTTGGACTTCAACTTCTTCATTCATTATATTTATTGTACCTAGAAGCTTCTAGAAAAACATTGAAAGTAATAGCTTGATAACCAAAATGGTTAAGTCCTAAGTATGTCATTAAAAGAAAGTGATCAAATGAAAGATCCTCATCTGTCAGTTTAGGCAGAAATTTATATTCCTGTACTAGATTAGAATTGGCGTGGCCCTTGAGGGGATTTTGAAAGTAGCAATTTTCAATTCCATAAAGGTTGAAAATTTCCATTTTTTTCTCATTTGGTAATGTGTGTTCTTTAGAATTATACATAATTGTATATGTATGTATTCTGTCAGTATTGGTTCTCTTTTCTGTTTGCTTGTCACTGCTAAGATCTCCAAATGTACAATATTTTAAAAATGACATTGGTGTTTTTGGTTTGTGTAGAAAATTAAAACTGCTATTCCTTTTTAAAAATTTGTTGTGTGAGTATATGATGTGTGCCTGCATGCCATAGCATGCATGTACTTTGTAGAGTCAGTTCTCTCTAGGGTTTTAACTCAGGTTGCCAATATTATATAACAAGCACACTGCTTTCTGAGGCATCGTGGTGGCACAAAACTGTATTGAAGCATACTGATTTCAAAGTTTATTTTACTATTAAAAGCAAAGAGGAAAGGAGAATGCAGGAGATCAAACACAAGGTCTTGAATATGCTAGGCATGCATTCTACACTGAAGCTTTACTCTCTGCTACCGTAAATACAGTTTTTTAGAACTTATTTTTTTGATAATTTTTCGTTAAGAGGTTTTTTTTGTTTGATTGGTTGAATCCAGGACCACCTGCTTGGTAGTCTAGCTTTCTACCCCTGAGCTATCTCTCTAGTACAGAATTTCATAAATTGCCAAATACTCAAAACAAATTACATGTATTTAAATTTTCCATTGACCTCTAATAAAAAACCTTTTAATCTTATTTATGTAAAAGCTAAGTAGAAAGTATAATTGTTTTTGATCTACAAAAGGTTAGATTGTATTTTGAAGTCTTAGAGTGCGTGGGTGTGCACACGCGTGTCTGCCTGGGCACACATGTTGTGGAGATAGGAGGACAACTTGCCTGAGTCAAGTTCAAGTTTTTAGGCTTGCTCAAGCTCCTTTATGCACCAAACCATGCACCACCTTGATGGCCACTGAAGGATCTTCACTAAATTGCTTGGACTTCATTTTCTCAATAAAAACACTGTAATCAACATGAGCATGAAATCTGGGTCTGATTCAGTAGCTAAAGTATAGTTTGCTTTTTCTGGCTATTTTAAAAGCAGCTTGAAGAGGCAAGAAAACTTTTGGAGCTGTGAAATGCAAGCTGATGCCGTTGCTAGATACTCTTTCTCTTTAGGTGGTTTAGTTATTTATTAAATTGTATCCTTCACTCAAATTGTGAAGCATTTTTCATGGAATTTATATGACCACTTAGTAGAAGTATATGAGTCTGATAGTTGTAGTGCACTTTCTTTTGGCTGCCAACTAGCTCCCAACTCAAGACATAGAAACTTACTGTTTGTTAGGAATGCTTGACCTAAGTAGGCTTGTCCCACTAGCTCTTACAACTCAATTTAACCTGTTTCTTGATGTCTACATTTTGCTTTGGGACTTGCTACCTTTCATTCTATATGTCCTACTCCTTTATATATGTCCTATTCTGTGGCTGCTTGGCTGGCCCTGGGCCTCTTCTTCTCTTTCTCCCTTATTCTCTTCTTGTTTTAGACTCTCCTACCTATTCTCTCTGCCTGCCAGCCCTGCCTAGCCCTCTACCACTGCCTAGCTATTGACTGTTCAGCTTTTTATTAGACCAGTCAGGTGCCTTGGTCAGGCAGAGCAACACATCTTTACATTGTAAACAAATAGAGCATAAACAAATGTAACACATCTTTGCCTAGTTAAAGTAATATTCTACAACAGATAGTATAATTGTGATTCTTAATATTGGTACTGGTAAGACCTTTATGTTGAACAAGAATTATCATAGATTGTAAGTTAGGGGCAAAATGCAAGTATTTAATTGAGTTAGAGCCCAGGGTGGTGGTATACACCTTTGATACCAGCATACACTTTTGATCCCAGTACACAGTAGGTAAAGTAGGTGAATTTGAGGCCAGCCTGGTTTACAGAACTACTTCCAGGACAGATAGATAGAGCTGACTATATAGAGAAATCCTGTCTTGAAAAATCAATCAATAAATAATTGAGTTAAAAAGCCATCCAGTTGTTTGTTTGGATTTGGTTTTATGAAACAGGTCTTGAAATGTTGAAGTCTAAGCTAGTTGGAATTTACTGTGTCACCCAGGATAGCCTTGAACTTGATCTTGTTTTTGCCTCAGCCTCCTTTTAAATGTTGGGATTATAAGCATGTTCCATCATTCCTGACCAATTATGGATTTTTGGTAATGTTTATTGTATGTAAGTTTTTTCTTGAAGACCAATGAGTTATAAAGTGTGGTTAATTGTAAATTTCTTACAAATCTTTATTTTCACTTAAAATTTTAACATACTGCCTTCCACATAGCTGGCCAGGGCTACCAATATTTTGAATGAATGATCTCTGAGGAGCTATATCCAACTGTTTTTCTATTTCTTTTTAGTTAGTTGATAAAATCAGAAAAGTAATGAACTAAACTGTTGCGGGGTATTTGACTACATTGTGATATTCTGAGACTTTAATAAAGTTAGAATCAGGCTGGAGCCTGTGATTAGCTGACCAGAATTACCCGTGGAGAAGCCAGGAATTTGGAAGGAAAGGATGGAATTACAGTTTGGTGTTTTGGATAGTCTAAGGGATGTGTCTCTTGCTGTCTCTCCAGCCAAAAAGTACAGTCAGCTGGTTGTTTCTAAGCTTCTCTGATCTAGCAAGCTTCCATCCCACCGTTTTTGACTCCTGAGTCTTTGTTGGTAAATCAGCAAGACTGGCCCTCCAGGCCATGACCTGAGTAGCCAGCAAGGGGGGGGGGTGCTGACTTGGGAGTCATGGGGTCATAGGCAATAAATAAAATATCAGTAGATTCCTGTGCAGCTGCTCAGCTGACAGAAAAACATCATTTGGTGCCCAAAGAGGGGCACCAGATATAGCAGGTCTTTCTTGTCAGACTTTCTTTGGACCACTAACCCCCAAATAATGACACGGAGACTTCTTGATTATGAAAGCTTGGCCTTTAGCTTACGCTTGTTCCCAACTAACTTTTTTGTTTTGTTTTGTTTTGTTTTTTCCAGGCAGAGTTTCTCTGTATTGTTTTGGAGGCTGACCTGGAACTTGTTCTATAGACCAGGCTGGCCTCGAATTCACAGAGATCTGCCTGCCTCTGCCTCTCAAGTGCTGGGATTAAAAGCGTGTGCCTGGCCCCAATTAACTCTTTTTTTTTTTTTTTTAGATTTATTTATTTAGTATGAATACAACATCCTGTCTCCATATATGTCTGCACACCAGAAGAGGGCACCAGATCTCATTATGGATGGTTGTGAGCCACCATGTGGTTGCTGGGAATTGAACTCAGGGCCTCTGGAAGAGCAGTCAGTGCTCTTAACCTCTGAGCATCTCTCCAGCCCCCCAATTAACTCTTACAATTTAAACTAACCTGCTTCTATTAATCCACATTCTATCACGTTGCTTATTACATCTCTTCCATTCTGTGTATCCAACTGCCTCCCTGTCTCACTGATGTCTCCTTTCTTCCCCCCAGCATTCCTATCTCTGCCCGGAGGTTCTGCCTATTTTTTCCTGCCTAGCTATTGACCATTCAGCTTTTTATTAAACCAATCACGATGACATATCTTCACAGTGCACAAATACCCTGCAATATTAAAATATATTTGAAATTGTTTCTTATTACGGAAATATGTTTTTGAGTATGCATAGGAAACAGATTAGTATCATTTAGCATTTGAGAAGTGACATTTACTAAAACAGTGCATTATGAGGAAATTACTCCCTTTTATTAAAGACCGTTATTTATGCATATATTTTGTTGTGTGTTTGTTTGAGACAATGCCTCACTATATAGTCTAGGCATCAAATCTTGTCTCAGCCTCCCAAGTGTCTGGATTACAAATACGTTTCATATGCTTATCACAAATAGCTTAGTTTTAATTTACTAATTTAATGGATTTATTGAAATTGGAAGTACTTGCTATTATTTTATTTCTGAAATGTGGAACTATTTAGGAATGAACTAATTATTTTAAATAAATTATATGCGAAACAAATATATCCAACTTAAACAGATTTCTTTTAATAAAAAGGATAACTTGTATATACATTGTAATCTGCCCTAATGGTAGTTATCTTTATTTTCTAGAAAGGCAAACTGAAATATAACTTGCTGCTTTTTTGGGTCACATGGTAAGTTTAAATATTTAAATTTGATCCAAGAATTTTTTTCTTTTTTAAAAACATTTTTTAATGATTGATTGGTTCTTATATTTATGTGCATTGGTGTTTTGCCTGCATGTCTGTATGAGGGTATCAGATCCCCTGGAACTGGAGTTACAGACATTTGTGAGCTGCCATGTGAGTGCTGGGAATTGAACCCAGGCCTCGGTAACAGTAGCCAGTTTTCTTAACCATTGAGCCATCATCTCTTCAGCCTGGACAGAATTTACTCTTTTTTATGTTTTTGTGGTGTATGAATGCAGGTGTATGCTCTGTGTTTGGACAGAGGTCAGAGAATGAAATGGGGGTGTCCTGTCACTCTTTGCTTTATTCCCTGTATAGTGTGTCTCATGGAACTTGAAGCACATTGTTTTGGCTAGACTGCCTGTCTCTCCCCCAACATTGAGGGTGAGGGTACATATTTCCATGCCTGGTTTTTTATATCAGTCCTGGGGATTTGAGCTGAGGTCCTCCTGTTTGGGAAACAAATGTTCTTAGACATTGTTCCATCTCCCTAATTCCTTCATCAAGAATTCCTTTCTTCTTTCTTTTTCTTTTCCCTGAGGCGGGGGTGTTGTGTGGCTTTTTGAGACAGAGTTTCTCAGGGTAGCCCTGGCTATCCAGGAATTCTCTATGTAGATCAGACTGGCCTCAAACTCTGCCTGCCTTTGTCTCCCAAATGCTGGGATTAGAGGTGTGTTTCTGGCTGGCTAAGAATTTCTAAGTTTTATAATTTTAATTCCAAGTTTTACATCTCGATATTTTTAGTCAAAATGACTCAAAATTGCCTGTGCACACCTTTAGTCCCAGTCTCTGTGAGTTCGAAGCCAGCCTAGTCTACAAGAACTGGTTCCAGGACAGACTCCAAAAGCTACACAGGGAAAACCTGGCTCGAAAACAAAAAAACAGAAAACAAAACAAAATAAGACTCAAAATTGACTGTCATATGTCAATACTTAGGTGACAACTTATAAGAAGTCAGATCTGCAACTTGATGGGTGACGGTTTCTTTCAACCAAAAGGTAAATGCTGCTGCAGTAACTGAAGTCATTATACTTTATGATAAAGAGTGAGAGGTGGGGCACCTTTTAAAACCTTGGAACTGTTGAAATAACAAACTAACAAGTCAAATAGAAATGAAGACTTTAACTTTACTAACAGAAATAGCTACTATTTATCAGTTCAGTATATATTGACATATATTTCTTCTATGCTTATACAAGCATTTATAAAAATTATGTAAAAGTATAGCCTTTTCTGAACAGTCTTTATATATTAACAATGCCAGAGCCTTGTTAAAAGTAAGTGTGTGTGTGTGTGTGTGTACACTATATTAGTTTACAGGGTAGAAATTTATTTTTGGAGGGTAGGTAGAAAGTCAGGATCAAAGTATTGCTAGACTTGATGTCTTCTGTGAGAGTTGAGAGGAAAGCTCCAGGCCTCTTATAAATGACCATGTTAAATTTGTGACTGATTATAGCCATATTAAGAACATGGTAGAATGTTGTCCCGATTTTGAGTTTAAAGTAGAAATGTCAGAGAAACCCTGTGCTGAAAAACCAAAAATAAATACATAAATAAAATAAAACAACAACAAAAAACAAACCCCAAAACAAAAACTAAAATGTATCTTTTACAATTTTTATTTATTTGTATGTGTGTGTCTGAGTTTATATCTTGTGTATGCAGTACTTTTAGAGACCAAAAGAAGACATGTCATTTCCCTGGATTATGAGGGGATTATGAGCCACCCAGTGTGGGTATTCGGAATAGAACTTGGGGTACTCTAGAAGAGCAGCAAATGCTCTTAACTGTTGAGTCATGTCTCCAATCCATTTTAACTTTCTTTTTATACTTATTATTTTTAATTATGTGTAGTGTGTTTATGGGGGGTTATCTTCATGTGTGAATGCAGGTGCTCACACATTCTAGAGGAGGGTGCCAGATCTGTTGGGGCATCTTTGGTATATGTTAACTACTAAGTAACCTCTCCAGCCATTTTACTTTTTATATCTTTTTGTTTTGTTTTTGGAGAGACAGGGTTTCTTTGTGTAGCCTGGTTGTCATGAAACTTGTTTTCTAGAGTAGGCTGACCTTGAATTGAGAGATTTCCTGCCTCTACCTCTGGTATTAAAAGTGTGCACCACTACCACCTGGCCTATGAAATGATTTTTTTTTTTTTGGTTTTTTGAGACAGGGTTTCTCTATATTGTTTTGGAGGCTAATCTGGAACTCGCTCATAGACCAGGCTGGCCTCGAACTCACAGAGATCGTCCTGCCTCTGCCTCCCGAGTGCTGGGATTAAAGGCGTGCACCACCACCGCCCTGCTCTGTGAAATGATCTTAAAGATAGCTTTTTAATCCTTTGGTTTCCTAGAGAAGTCCTCTTAAAGTGCTGCTATCCTGCATCTATCCCATTTAGTTGTTCTCTAGACTTACTGACTTACTCTCTACTGGGACTTTATTTTGTATCGAATGCTGTATCCTGTGCTCTCTATGTCTTACTTTTTGTTCTTTATGTACAAAGATGCATGGATAGGGAAGTCAGAAGATAGTTTGTGGGAGGTGGTTCAGTTAGGGACTGGGGATAGAACTCAGATCATCAGACTTGGCAGCAAGCACCTTTACCCATAAGCCCCATCAGTTTTACTTGTATTCAAACATTAATTTCTTTGCTTGATACCTCTAAATATACTAGTTTCTTTTCTCTACTTTTCTTGCCTTATGTTATCTTTCTTAGAATCCTTTTAATTTGTTTTACTATCTATCTTTTGATCTTTTAGATAGGAAGTTTTCCTTCCTAAAATTCCTGGTACTTATTTATCCACATTTATGAGAGAGGTGTTACTTGGTCTGAGTTTCTAAGTAGTTTTTACTGTGTGCATTGCTTTGTTCAATTTCTGTAGGGAGAAATGTGTAATTTGATCAACTTATGATAAGCCTCAGTCCTTTCCTATTTGTTTCTCTACCACCACATCCCTGGTTTTGCTCTTGTTCCTTGCATTTCTAAGTCTGGTTCATTAATTTGTTTCCCACCTGTGGCTTCTTACTACAGTCTATCTCCCTTTTGTTAAATCTTTTTCTTTTTTTAAGACAATGGATAGGATATAATTTTGTGGAGACAATCATTGTAGATGTATGACTGAAACTCATTTTGACTGGATTTTCTAGCTGCTGTAAATAACTATTGTCTGTATGAAGTTGACTAGTTTAGTAGAGCTTAGAGAGTAAGATCTCAGTTTCTTAGTGTTGTTATCATACATTCATCACAAACACCAATTCAGAAATTGTTATTAGGGTTATTAAGATAATTTCTAATATGTTTTGTATAGCAAACAATTTTTTAATTAAAAGAAAGTTGTTTCTTTTAAAATTAGATAATTCAAAAATGGCAGAACTCTTTATGGAGTGTGAAGAAGAGGAGCTAGAACCATGGCAGAAGAAAGTAAAGGAAGTTGAAGAGGATGATGACGACGAGCCCATCTTTGTTGCAGAGATAGCAAGTTCAAAACCAGCAATTTCAAGTAAGCATTTACTTTGAATGAAGGCAGTCTGCTAAGGTTTTGTCTTAGGTTGTTGTGAAAATGTCCTATCCTACCAAAAAAGTTAGGAATGACATAATGACTGGAAGACCAACTGCTCAGGGTTAACTGACTGGAGCTTTAAGAAGGGGTAGACGACAAAGACCAGCAGAGCAAACTTGGAAATGCACGTGAGTTGCTGGTGGCATTGGAGGTCTTCTGAGAGCAGGAATTATAAATTTTACCTTGGTTTAATGGTGAGAGAGCACTATGAAATTTTCTGAAAGCCTACTTCTTACTTTTCTTGTCTGTAGTATTGGAATGGTACTCTTGTACAGTTTTATTATGGAGAGAATACTTTAACCAAATGAAATGTCACTATCATTTCCTATAATAGATAGGTCATTTCCCATGGAATGCTAAGTGGGATGCTATTTGGATTATAATAAGAGTTTAGTATGGCTGGGCTTTGGTGGCACACGCCTTTAATTACATCACTTGGGAGGCAGAGGCAGGCAGATCTCTGTGAGTATGAGGCCTGCCTGGTCTACAGAGCGAGTTCCAGGACAACCTCCAAAGCAATACAGAGAAACCCTGTCTTGAAAAACAAAAAACAAAAGAAAAAAAAACAAACAACAAAAAAAGAGTTTAGTATGATGGTGTGCGTGTGGCTAGTGTCAGAATGGTTTGTTTTCGTATTTATTGTTTCCTAGATATTGATTATCTTATACTTAAATGTTATTATAATTCAAAATATCTCAATAAAATATGACACGATTCAAGTTGAATTTATACTGGTTACAGATGGCTGTTAACTGTACTCAACTATACAATGTATATTAGTTTTTAAAATTCTGTAAGAAAGACATTGACCTTAGATTTTTTTTTTCTGAACCATGAAGATGAAAAAAATGATTGTGTTATTTTTTTCTGGAGGTCATAAGGAGTTTCAGCATAGGAAATATGTATTTAGATGTTTAGGAACTTGTCTTTTATAGATCACAACCACTAAAATTGTATAACAATAGTTATTTGGAGTTAGTTTTTTTTGTTGTTGTTGTTTTGTTTTTGTTTTTGTTTTTGAGACAGGGTTCTCTGTGTAACTTTGGAGCCTGTCCTAGAACTTGCTCTGTAGACCACGCTTGCCTTGAATCTTCCTGCCTCTGCTTCCCAAGGGCTGGGATTAAAGTTGGGTGCCATCACTGACCAATGAGAGTTTGAACATTAATCTTGGTTTTCTGAGTGAAAAAAAATGTCAAGTTGTTTGAGTAGCTTCTTTTTTTTTTAATTAATGTGCTACATGATTAATAAGCACTGCATTAACATTACTGAAAAAAATGTTAACTAGTTTAACTATTTTAAAAAGATCTTAATAGTTTTAATTTATGTGGATGTGTATTTACCTGCATGTATGCATGTTTTCAATGAGTAGCTGATGCCCATAGAGGCCAGAAAAGGGTATTGTGCCCCCTCAAACTGGTATTACAGGTGGTTGTAAGACAGCATGTAAGTGTTGGGAATTGACCCTGTGTCCTCTGCAAGAATAGCAAATACTCTTAACTACTGAGCCATCTCTCTGGCTCTGAAAAACAACTATTATATGTACCTTTATACAATTATTTAGTGGGGTCTAGGTTTTTTCCTACTATGAAGAAAAATAATTTTTGTAATTTCAGTAAATGTTTTAACTTTTTCCCAACAAGAAAATTTAAGTAAATCTTTATTCTTTCAATTTTTTGTTTGATTACTGAATAAGCTAGATGTTAAAAACATCCATATTTATGTAACAGTAAGAACTTTAAATCAGTCCCTCAAAGTCATGCCAAATCTTAACTTCTGATGTGATGATAGACCTGAATCCTCTTATAAGGTTACCAGGTAAACTTTAGATAACTTCTTGTAGCTTCTCTTTTGGAACTCAGAGGAAATGATAATAGTCCATGGAGATTCTCTTTTATGCAACTTTTGGACTTTCAGAACTGTGAATAGAATCTGCAGGCTCGATCAGGGTTTATTTAAGTCATAGGAACCCAAATATGTATACAAATCTATCACCATCCCAAGGAAAGTATAGACTTCAACTCCATTCAACCATATTTAAATGTGTTTTTTGTAGGTGTTTTCTTTTTCCTTTTTTTTTTTTTTTTTTTTTTGAGACAGATTTTCTCTGTGTAGCATCCTTGACTGTCCTGGAACTCTAGATCAGGCTGGCCTCAAATTCACAGAGATTGACCGGGCGGCGGTGGCGGCGGCGGCATATGCCTCTATTCCCAGCATTCGGAAGGCAGAGGCAGGCAGATCTCTGAGTTTGAGACCAGCCTGGTCTACAGAGCAAGTTCCAGGACAGTCTCCAAAGACACAGAGAAACCCTGTCTTGACAAAAAAAAAAAAAATCACAGCGATCTACCTGCTTCTGCCTTCTGAGTGCTAGGATTAAAGGCATGCATCACCATACCTGGCTTTTGGAAGATTTTATAGAGACAATTTCTTTGCCTTGGCTTATATGCATTTGGATTTATCAATTTACTTCTGGCCTTTGGACATTTATTTACAACGAGAGTTCTATAAAACAGTTAATGTTGTTAAATAATTTTCAAATTAGTGGTAATATTTCTTCTAATATCTGATTTTAGTTCATAATTTTTAATATCTTAGTATATGTTTCATTCAAACAAATTTATATATTTTTAGATATTTTGAACAGAGTCAACTCCAGCTCACATTCACGAGGAATAAAGAATGGTGCACTTAATCGAGGTACAATATTATCTCATTACTTTAATTTGAAACTAAAATATTTTGAAAAAGTTGATTATATAGGAATGCCTTCAATGTGTTGTATAATTTTTAAAATACAGGTTTTACTACTTCATTCAAGCCTACAAATCAACGCTTCACGAATCCAGCATCAAATCCTGTGGCTGCCTTGCCAGTAAATTTTCATCCTGACTCTAGATCTTCAGATAGCCCTGTTATTGTTCAGCCATTTTCTAAACCTGTAAGTGTTTTTAAACCTACTGAGTCAGCTCAGGGATTATTAATAACACCCAATTAAAACTATAGCTTATCAACTAGTAGTCACATGTTAGCATAATAGGTATCAGAAAAGCTCACAATCTCTATGACTTTTTAGTAAGATGGGGAGTATATTGAAACTGATTAGATACAGCTTTGAAAACTAAGACTGTGAAAACATGAATAAAAGGATTATAATGAATATCACATGATAGCAAAATATTTATGCATGCAAACTAGGCCAGATATTTTCAAATTTGAAATTATTGAGAAGCTTTGATAGCATTTTATCCTTGGAAATGTATCTTCATACTTTAGTTAAAAATCCTTAGTAAAAAGTAATAGATAATGGCAATAATTAAAATTTATTAAGATAGTAATAGTTATAAATATTTGTACTAAATGCTATACATAAATTAATCTCATTTGATTCTTAAATATACCAAGGAAGTGGGCATTGTGTTCCCCCATTTTACAGTTGAATAAATCCTGAGATTTATAGTGATTAAATGATTCACTCAGGACCCATAGCTGAGTGCCTCTCAGATATAAGTATAGGCTGATCCATAGTTTTATATACATGTGTATATGTTATATATGAATGTACAGTTTGAAAAATGGAAGTAGGGCCTCATCTCAGCATTTCTAAGGATGATGTGTAATTCTTGAGGGTTCCTCAAGATACTTTCAAGTGTTTGGGGTTCAGCACCATTGGGAAGATAATGTAAGACACTTTGTTTTTCACTGTTTGACATTTGCATTGATGACACAAAAGCATGTTGACCAAGCTGTTGATGGCCTAGTGTGAGTTCAAACAAGCACTCATCTGCACCAAAGTTTCCATGCACTCCCAATGAAGTACTCCAATTACAGACAGTTCCTCAGTGAAGTTTTGCAGTGTATTAAACATAAACTTCCATTAATGTTATTTTGTTAACTATGCCCTTGAATATGTCTCCTTTTAAATGTTTTGTGTGGTGAAATAGGTAGTATACATAAAGCATTTCTGTGTCTGAAATACCTTGATGATTGTCTTTAGGAAAAGTATTAGCATCATTAGCAAGCTTAAAATATCTGCTGCATTTTAATTGAACACATTTTTACTAAAAATAATGGCTGACAAGCTGTGGTATATTATTTCTTCATATCATTATTGTCATAAACAATATGCCTTAAAACAACATACATTAATTATGTTATAGTCTTATAGTTTCTGTTGGTAGGAGGCAGATGGTAGCTTAACTGGATCCTCTTCTTTAGGGTCTAATAGAACTACCATTCAAATTGTGGTCCTCAAAGTAGTCTTATCATAAGCATTACTGGGGAAGTATCTTCCAGGTTCACATAGATGTTGGTAGCATTTGGCTTCCTAAGTGGTTGTCAGACTGCATTTCAGTGTCCTTTTGGGTTTTGGCTCATTCCTTGCTACCTGGGTCTTCCCAAAGTGACAGCTTGCCTCCTGAAAGTAAGGGTATGTTCTTTTGTCGTCGTTGGTGGTGGTGGTGAGTGTTTTGTTTGCTTTTAGTCAGCTTTTCTCTGTGTAGTCCTGGCTGTTCTGGAGCTCACTCTATAGATCAGACTGGCCTCGAGCTCAGAGACTTGATTGCCTCTGCCTCTCGAGTGCTGGGACTACTGACCAAGATGAGTTTTTTTTTGTTTGTTTGTTTGTTTTTGTTATTTCTTTTTGTTTTTGGTTTAACGAGACCTGGTTTTGGAGGCTGTTGGTCCAGCCTGGCCTCGAACTCACAGAGATCCGCCTGCCTCTGCCTCCCGAGTGCTGGGATTAAAGGAGTGTGTCACCACTGCCAGGCAGACCAAGATGATTTTAATTAGTCTTTTTTTTAAATTAGTCTTAAGAAACAATTATTTTCATAAAATATTATATACCTTGCCTTTTTTTTTTTGTTTTTGTTTTTGGTTTTTTTGAGACAGGGTCTCTGTATTGTTTTGGAGGCTGTCCTGGAACTCTCTCTGTAGACCAGGCTGGCCTGGAACTCACAGAGATCCTCCTGCCTCTGCCTTCCCAGCACTGGGATTAAGGCGCGCACCACCAATGCCCAGCTATACCTTGCCATTTTAACTGTGCTTTTTTTTTTTTTTTTTTTTTTTTAAGAATCAAGTCAGCTCTCCTAGCCATATTAACAGGAAGGGAATCATGCAGCATATTAATATCAGAAGATGGTATCATGGAGTCCACGTTAGGATGTAGTTATTCAGACCTCAGATTTCTGGTACAGATTTCTTCAATATTGAACAGAGTGTGCCTGCTACTTCATCACTTTATGGAAAACAGCTGATAGTAGTGTTTTCTTACCAATGATAAATGAAGTCCGAGCTGTCAAGCAAAAAATTAAAATGTTGGAAATCTTTAATTTGCCATTTTGATCTTGACAGCTTTTTAATATTCTATGGCTTTTCTTGATGGGTGGTATAAATAAATGGATTTTTTGATGATGTGTAGTGAACTTTTTCATTATTTAAGATAGTTCAATGAAGACTGGAGAGATGGCTCAGTGGTTAAGAGCACTGGCTGCTCTTCCAGAGGACCCAGGTTCAATTCCCAGCCTCCACATGGCAGCTCAAAACTGTAACTTTATTTCCAGGGAATCTGAAACTCTAAACCAGTGTACATAAAATAAATAAATAAATAAAAAAAGATAATTCAATGAAACCAATAGTTTGTAAAAAACCAAAAAAAAAATATGTGTTAATGAAAGGTCTGAATAAAAGATCTATTTAAGGTATACTATGGGTTAATAATTCTAATGGGACAGGGTATCAGAAGAAGTTCACAGATTCCATAGTGATACACCTTTAAGAAAGTACTACCTGATGAGTTTTGGTAGAATCCACACTACTGAAATGCTCCTTCTCTCAATTGCATATTGTCATGAGTCCATATTCTCTTGAGAATTTAGCTTAGTTACTAGAGAAGAGAACTTGCCTAGTACACACAAAGATCTGGGCTCAAGCACATACAACAATTTCAGGCTAACTTGGGATACTGGAGACCCTGGCTTCCAAAATGAAAATGAAAATGAAAATTGCGAAGATACAAAGTAATACTTTTATGAAGTAACGTTTAGTGTATTTCTGTTTTAATTTCTAGTTTGATAAGTGTCTACAGATTTTACCAATGTAAAAAAGTGTTTTGGGGTTTAGTTTTTTTTTTTTTTTAACATTTTTTAGATTTATTCATTTAGTCTGTATGACTGCAGGCCAGAAGAGGGCGCCAGATCTCATTACAGATGGTTGTGAGCCACCATGTGGTTGCTGGGAATTGAACTCAGGTCCTCTGGAAGAACAACCAATGCTCTTAACCACTCCAGCTCCAGGTTTAGTTATTTTTAAGTATGTAAGATCATCTTGATGCTGGAAAGCTAGGTGAGCACTGCCTTAGTGAATAGTAAATCTCTTTAAAATATTTCTTCTCCTGTAAGGTTCCAAAGACTTGTTCATGTTTAAAAAAATACAGTAAACGTTACAATTAACTCTTCTCTTATACTTAAACATTAGTTGTTTTCCGTTTAGAGGAAAAAACTGGAGAAGGAAAAGTTGACTAATACAGTTAAATACACAAATCTCCCAGTCTCAGGAAGAAAGTACCAAAGATGGTATCTTAGTTTTTGTAAAAGTTCCAAATTAGAATCTTTTCAATTAAGAATATTTTATGTCTGTGGACATAAAACACCTCAGTTAATAGTTTGTGATCCTGGAATCTTGTTGGAAAAGAGCAGATTTGCCAGTTGGTTTCTGTGAGAGCCTTGAAATCATAAATTGAAATCTCAGTTGTCTGAGTGGTCAAACTAAAAGTCATAGCCTTGTGTTCTGGAATAAATTGTCTTATTTTAAAGGCTTTCCCCATGAATGTTTAGTAAATTATTATTTTTATAAGTTTTTAATTTAATAAATTATAAGTAAGTTTAACATTTTATGCCATTTTTGGTTTAATTTTTCATGGAATATCTTTGTACGTTAATACTTTTTTCAGGCAGGGATGGAATATATTACTCTTAACATTGATAAAATCAGTATGAGGTGTGACTAATGAGTATAAATTACTTCATTTAATTTTAGCTTTTTGAGATAGAGTTTCTCTGTGTGTGTTCTAGTCATTTTGTAGACCAGGCTGACCTTGAACTCACAGAGATCTGCCTGCATCAGCCTCCTCAGTGTTGGGATTAAAGGTATGCACCCCCCCCCCTTACTCTCTGTATGAATTTTATGTCTTCACTTAGACTTGGCTTATAGTTTCATCACTATCATTAACAAATGATGCAGTTTTGAGAGACTTCCTCAACCATAGCTAACTTGAGCCTATTTATCTATATAATGGGAAAGAATATTAGGTCTTCATTAATACTACTTTGATAACTAATTGATACAAGTGAATTAATATTTACAGTGGCATTTTAGTTTGAAAAGTTAAGTGGTTAAATATACGTTAGTCATCCTAATTCTATTGTAGTATCTATATCTACTCTTATAAATTCTGTTTGAAAATTCTTTTTAGCTAGTTATTTGTTGACTAATGGGCTGCCTTCTTTGTAATACTAAGGGTGCTTAATAAGTTACTTTTTAGGGATGCGTTTAATATGATCAGCTTTACTATATAAAGTTAACATATTAACGTTACTATAGTTTTGGTTTTTTGTTGTTGTTGTTTTTGGTTTTTCGAGACAGAGTTTCTCTGTGACTTTGGAGGCTGTCCTGGAACTAGCTACTATAGTTTTGTTAATGAGAGATCTGTTTTTTTTCCCCTTTTGTTTTTGACAGTGTAAGTAAATATTTGAAATTACAAATGTTTGAAGAAAGTTTTTACTTCAATAAAGTAAGATTGTACTTGTTACTGTTAAGTTTTGGAATTAATGATTTTTTTTTTCTTTATACTGTCTTAAGATTGAGATGCTCATGCCAGCTTCAAATTCTAAGTGGTGCTGCTTGGGATTATAAAATGTTCCTATGATCGCAAAACAAATGTCAGTAAAATTGGTAATCAAATGAAATTCTTAGTTTTCCTGTAATTTATAAGCACAAAAACAAAACCTAATGTTTTTACGATAAACATATCTGAGGGGGATTTAGTAAAGGAAGAAGAGTTTATTAATAAAGTGCACATACACTCACTTTATTAATAAACTCAATTGTGCAGGTTAGCACTATTACTTTTTCCTTGTTGAGGAACATGTCCAACTTTTTGAAAACTTGATAGTGAAGATTGTATGATAACTCATATTTTAGCTTTTTTCCATTATTGAAAATATAGGGTTTAATTTTTGACTATTAAAAATAATTCTCTATTAAGGTTTACCATAAATTCTTGAAAGTAGAATAGAGGGTCCTTTAGAGACATTGATAGTTACTTTTAAGGTTTATGCAAAGTAATACCAAAATATAACCTAGAGTTTGCCAGTAGTGAATAGTTCCTTCTTTTAACTTTATTAAAATTAATATTAGTCTCATAGAAAAGGTAGTAGAGTTTCCTATTTTTTCTCATCCAGCTTCCATCTTATCTGTTTGTTATAACTAACAATGTTAACCATACTTCAGATTCATCATTAGAATGTGACCAAATTTTCTACTGATGTCCTTAGACCTTGTTTATGATTCCACCTTGCAGTTATTCTTAACATTTTCATAGTTTTTATTTTATTTTATTTTATTTTCCAGTTTAAATTTAGATAAGAAACAAGGTTGCTTCACAAGTCAGTTCCAGGTCCCTCTCCCTTTCCCTCCCCCATTTTCATAGTTTTTAAAGTTACACTTTTCTACTCATGACTCTGACAGCTAAACATTGTGAGTTAGTTTTAGTAGACATTTTTTTTAAATGCCAGTAAAATTTTTAAATATTTTTATTTGTATCTTTCTAGTAAATTTTAAAAGGGGTATATCACCTGGGCGGTGGTGGCGCACGCCTTTAATCCCAGCACTCGAGAGGCAGAGGCAGGCGGATCTCTGTGAGTTCGAGGCCAGGCTGGACCGACAGCCTCCAGAACAATACAGAGAAACCCTGTCTCGAAAAACCAAAAAAAAAAAAAAAAGAGGAGTATATCGAATATATTTGTCTTTATTGTTTTGTTTCTGAATTAGTATATATCCTTTTACTTTTTTGTTTAAAATAGCCCTTTTTTTTGAGACAAGGTTACCCAGGCAGTCCTTCAGCTTGCTATGTAGATAAGTACACATGGAGACGACTACTACTACTACTACTACTTCTTCTCCTTCCTCCTTCCTCCTTCCTCCTTTCTCCTTTCTCCTTTCTCCTCCCTCCTCCTCCTCCTCCTCCTCCTCCTCCTCCTCCTCCTCCTCCTCCTCCTCCTCCTCCTCCTCCTCCTCCTCCTCCTCCTCCTCCTCCTCCTCTTCTTCTTCTTCTTCTTCTTCTTCTTTTTCTCCTTTCTCCTTTCTCCTTTCTTTCTTCTTCTTAATGCCTGCCCTTAGCTTGGCTTATTTCTACCCAGCCTTGCTATTGACCAATCAGGTGTTTTAGACAGGCAAAGTAACACAGCTTCAGAGTTAAACAAATGCAACATTAAACAAATGTTCCACAGCATAAACAAATGGAACACATTTTAAAATAATATTCTACAACACTATAGGTCTCTTGGAGAAGGCCCATTGGCTGAGGTTTTTTTTTTTTTTTTTTTTTTTTTTGGTTTTTCAAGACAGGGTTTCTCTATATTGTTTTGGAGGCTGTCCTGGAACTCACTCTGTAGACCAGGCTGTCCTGGAACTCACAGAGATCTGCCTGCCTCTGCCTCCCGAGTGCTGGGATTAAGGGCATGCACCACCAACACCCGGCTGGCTGAGGTATTTTTTATCAACAGCTTCTATCCTAACCCCTTTCTGATTATAACTGTTATTTCATTCTATGGCCCAAGTTGCTTTGGTTTTTGCCTTAAGACATTCAGCATTCTTTGGCTTAGGATAGGTTTCTGAAGGCCAACTAGAAAAGTAAGGAAATGTTTCTTTATGACTATATAGTTACGAAGTTCTCCAAAACATGGTTTGAAAATTCATTTTATATAAAAAAAATTTTACAGTGATATTTGGGAATAGGATATAGGAATTACTGAAGCTATCCGGGCAGTGGTGGCGCACAACTTTAATCTCAGCACTTGAGAGGCAGAGGCAGGCAGATCTCTGAGACTTACAGGACAGCTAATGCTGTTACACAGAGAAACGCTGTCTCAAAAACAACAAAAAAAGTTTCTGAAGCTTTTAGTTTTTTTACATTCATGTCACTGTGCTGTCATTTTCCTCTCTGTTTATGCAGTTTTTTATGTTATTTACTTCTTGATGATAATGTTACAATTTTAGAACCTCTAAGAATCTATTGATCTTATGTATACAAAGTAAGTTTGCATTTCTTTTACTTTGAAAACACTGGATTAGAATTTGCTCCCCATATTAGGTGATCAGTTTCAGCTGGCCAGACAGGAAGAAATGAGCTCTGTTAGTTTGCTTTCAATTTTGATAGTTGATATTATTGTGCAACTGGTAATTTTGTGTTTTTTTAACTTACTGAATCATCAAAGGTTTTCATCCTAATGATACAGTTACGCCATTAAATTGTTTTTATACCTATGTTTAAAAAAATAGTTATAATTATGTCCAGTATATGTAATATTCTTTCTTCAAATTTAACAGGGTTATGTAACAAACTCTTCACCAGTTCTGTGTAACAACTCCTCAGAGTTACTGTTTGACTTGACCCAGGATACAGGATTATCACATTACCCAGGGACACCAGCACTTTCTATTGCAGGTTAGTGTCGTTACTTTTTTTCCTTAAAATAGTTAACAGAAACTTAATGATAATAATATTGAATTAACTTTCTGTTTTGAAACCCATATCTTTGTGTGAAAGTGTTTGTATATTGTAATATGGACTGCTGTAAATAGTTTTTAAGTGTCTTTCTGAGGCAGTTTTGTGTACAGTACTCCTAAACCGCATTGTGCTCTTTTTTTCCCCCTATGAATCCAACCTTATACATGCTTTAAAAAACATCAGTGAATTAGAGAAGGCTTCAGTTAGTATAAACATTGTTAAGAAAAATTAGTTTCCGTGGGCACCAGTATAAGAAAGTATTTGGTTGTAATTGAATTCTTAATTAGGTTAGTGTCTTTCTAGTTCAATAAGTGATTTCAGTATGTAGTTAAGTATGATTTTATGGTGCTCTAAAGTGGCCACAATAAAGAAATAGTTTTTGGACTAATGAGGTGACTCAGCAGGCAAAGGCACTTGCTTCTAAACACAATGACCTGAGTTCCATCCCTGGGCCCCACACCATGGGACGAGAGAACTGGACTCCTGGCAAGTTGTCGTGACCTCCACACGTGTGCTGTGGCATGTATGTATCTACCATACCCTCCTTTTCCCTCCCTCCTCTCATAATGAAAGGCGATTTGAAGAAGTAGTTCTTGAATGTGTTGGTATACACCTATAATCTCAGCATTTGAGAGGCTGTGGCAGAGGATTATTGTCAGATTGAGGTCAGCCTGAACTATGTAATGATTTCAAGGCCTTCTTAAGCTACATAGTGGGACTGTGTCTCAAAAACAGGCAGCAGATATTACTGACTTAGACATAGTAAAAAAGATCTTTAGAGGAGTAATGAAATTTACCTATTGAAGATTTACAGTTCTTTTAGTACATATGATATGTATTCTTCATTAATTTAAAGTATATTAACATTCCATGAAAGAATTTTGTCTTTGTGAAAATTCCTCATAGTTAAGGCAAGTTAATTCTTGAATACTATCAATTTGTATTTATTCAGGTATTTTAACTAAGATGTACAAGATGTTTTGGAATGTTTAGATTGTTTAATAAAATAATGAGGTGTTTACCAGACTTTCCTGCACTTTTTTTCATAATAGGACTTAAAGTGCTTTTCCATTTTAAAAATACCTTATTGATAAACACGTCTCTGAATGTCACTTACATACATAGTTTACTAAAATGTTTACTAATATCTTGTTAATAAAATAGGTACAAGCGAAAAGAAACGGAGAAAAAATATTTGTATTAAATCTGGCATTAGGAAGCTCATAGACTTTACTCATAGGAAAAGTCTGCAGTCTTGAAACTTCTGGGAAGAAAGAACCAGTAAAGACTCCTATTCTCCCTCTCAGCTTTCTACTACAGTGAGTGAAACTTCATTAAGTGGGATAACTAGGAAGTTGTAGGTTTGAACCTCTGGTTAAGAATGTTTAGTTTTTATCAGATCAACTGACCTCTGCATACTTGGATTTTTCCTAGTAAGAGATGGGGCTATTCATTTTTCTTGTGTAATCCATTCAGTTCTCCACACGTGGAGCAAGGCACCTGAAGATAACATTTTGACTCTGCTGTAGTTCACATAGGGCTTTTTAGATGCCCAAACAACATAAGTGAAATGTGAAAATACACTTGTAATGTTCAAAGGACTTGATAACAAATAGAATCATTCAGTGTTTATCTTTCAGTAGCATGATTTATTGACAGACTACTGTCTGTGTAGATTATGGGGTTTTGAGTTTGAAAGAAAGTAGGATTTTTACTGGCAAAACTAGAATTGTTTGGAGGTAGAGAATAGTACAAGCCTAACAAAACAGATAAAGGGTCAGAATTTAAAACACATGCAAGACCAATTGATATGGCTCAGTTGGTAAAAGCATTTGCTTGCAAGTCTGACACCTTGAGTTTGATCCCTGGAGCCTACATGGTGGAAGGAAAGAACAGACAAATTGTTCTGGATTTCACTCAAATACTATGGCTTGTGCACACCCTCACTCATGCACACAGATAAATAAATAAAAATTTAAAAGATTGGAATGAATGCAGAGTGGTTTTATTTAATGTTGAGATTTCTCATGATAAATCCTTACATTGAAGAAGTCAACTTTTACCATCTAGTCTATTTTATAATTAGTTAATAATTAAAAATGCTACCATCCATTTGTTTTTCAACTAACATAAACATATTAATATAATTATACTACCAGATATCTTTTTCATGTATCTGCAGTGTCTTTCTCTGATCATTATTACTTTGTTTTAAAAGATCAAACAGTGAAATGAACTAGTCTAATATCCTTATTTTCTTGGCATGTTTGTCCTCATTAAAAATAATGATAGGCAGATCTTTTGGAATAATTTTACCCTTTAAAGCAAGTTAAGGTATAAAGTGTTTTGTTAGTAATTATAATTGCTATTTGTTATTTTTTTCTGTATACCCAGTATTTTAAGGTTTATGAATTGACCTTAAAAAACTGTAAAATAAGGTATCATAACTTATTTTATGGAAACGATGACTCAGAGAAACTGACAATCTGGGTTCAAATCTAAGTTATCTGATTTAAGTGCCTGGAATATTTCTAACATTTATTGTTTCTATATTTAGTGTACAGATGATACTATTTAATGTGCAGGTTGGGAATTCTTTGTACAAAGTACATTATGTGTTATTTAAAAAAAAAAGACTTTGGCTTAGTTATAGTCTAACTGTCTCTCTTTTGCTTATACTATAAGGTTTAATCCTTTAGCTTTGTGGTGACTTTTCAAGTGGAAAATTATTTTTAAGAACGAAATCTCTATGTAAATAAAGATTCATAGAGAAATCTAGTAAATGGAAGAATTTTTTGTTTATTTTTAGTCAGACACTCCTTAATATATTCCATAAAATGGGTACAACTCCTTCTCTTATGCCCTTTCATTTGAGTAAGATATGATTCAGGAGTAGAAGTTTCTACTTTGTACATACCAGTAAGTGTGTAATGTCAGCTATAAAGCACTTTGTTAGGTGGGAAAGAGCTAATAACACATTAGGCATTTTAAGTAGTTACAAAATAGCTTGGCATTGTGGTGTACACTTTTAATCCCGGCACTGGGGAGGCAGAGGCAGTCAGGTCTGAATCCCTGAATTCATGGCCAGTCAGGTCTACAGAGTGAGTTCCAGGACATCCAGGGCTGGCTGCACAGAGGAACGCTGTCTTGAGAAAAATTTTTAGAATCTATAACTGGTGCAAATTATTGTGTGTGTGTTCATGTGGGGTGTGTGTATGTGTGTAGTACAAACTTAAATGTATTAAGCATGTAAAGATTATTGGTTCTTAGGAACTTCAAAATATCTTTCTTCAGTTCTAATGTTTTTTTTCAAGCCATTGAGAATATTCTTCCATAGAAGGTAATTTCACAAATTGATTGAGTAACTGCAGTCCTTAATACGTTTCTATGCTATTTCCTCATACTCTCTTAAGTTTGTATCATTTGTTTGCTTGTTTTGAGACAGGGTCTTACTATGTAGCTCTACCTGGCTTGGAACTGGTTAGGTAGATCAGGCTGGCTTCAAATTCACAGAGCTCTGCCTACCTCTGCCTCCCAAGTACTAGGATTAAATGTGTGTGCCACTGTGCCCAGCAATATCATTTAATTTTTATCATTGCTATAACATAGTTCAATTATATATTTTAGTTCTCACACATTTAGACTTAAGTAGTTATGAGCAGTGTTTTATAATATTTTAAAATCTTTTTCCCATTATTTAAATCATTTTAGGTTTGAATGAAAGTTCATTTACATCAAAACGTCCTTTTTCTGACATAAGCAGTGTTAACTCAAAAAAACCTAAACCCAATGACAATATTTCTGGAGCAGATGACTCTTCTGTACTCTCTTCAGAAAAGCCTCCATCAGTGTCATCTCTGCAGGTGACGCCATTGCAAGGTAAATGAGAATGCAATTTCTGTAATAGTTAAAAGATAAGTTTTATAGATTGTTACAAGTTGAGAAAACTAATAGTGGTCATTTAAAATAGAAAGCGCTGGATTTTGGGGCTGGAGAGAAGGCTTATTGGTCAAGAGCATTTAAAATTCTAGCAGAGAACCTGGGTTTGATCCCCAGCACACATATTGAGTGGCTTACAACTACCAGCTAACACCAACTCCAGAGGACCTGACATTTTCTTCTGGCCCCATGACCACCAACACAAATGTGACGTGTGTGTGTGTGTGTGTGTGTGTGTGTGTGTGGTGTGTGTGTTCACTCATTAGTAATTACAAATAATTCATGAAAAACAAAACCTGAAAAGTGATACATTTTGTTTTAATATTGATCTGAATTTATTTTAGGTGCAAATTGCTCATCAAATCAATCTAAAAATGGAACAACTTTTCCAAGAGCATGTCCTAAGTGTAATATTCACTTCAACCTTTTGGATCCTCTGAAAAAGCACATGACGGTAAAATTTTTTTCAAAATCTAATTTAAAAAAGATTGAAAATCTCTAAAAATATTAATGACTGATTTTTAGTAAATAATGGTTTGTCTTAACAAGTAAGGTATATCCATAGTGCTTAGGTAAAAACTTATATTCAAAATGATTTTCTATAAGATAGTGAAATTTGACTGAGCATTGGTGGTGCACGCCTTTAATCCCAGCACTTTCAAGGCAGAGGCAGGTGAATATCTATGAGTTTGAGGCCAGCCTGGTTTACAGGACAGTCAGCTACACAAAAAACCCTGTTGCAAAAAAAACAAAACAAAACAAAACAAAAAACAAGCAACATAAAAAAGGTAGTATGAAATTCTTTAGTTCATATTTCTATAATATTTGCTCATTGTATCCTGATTTTAAACACAATATATTGATTAAATCATTTTCAGACTTATAAAACTTATAAGTTTTATCTTTTTATTACTTAAATTCTATAGTGTACATATATGCTAATGTGTGTTTTCTGCATTAGTTGATATAAGGTATGCATATTAATTGTCAGTAATCAGACATAAATTTCAAATGCTCATGTTTTTTCATATTGTTTTGATAAAGTCCAGAATATAGTTTGTACAATTATTATAAATTAGTTTAAAAGTTTTTATTGGGGTAGGAAGCTTTTTGGTTTAAGATTTTAAGAAAATTTCAAAGTATTTATGTAGTGTGAAGTTTAACACAGTCCTTCAAATATTAGCTTTTACTATGCTCTGCTGTACTTTTATCAAAATGTTCTGTAACCTTGTTCCTACTATAAATGGCACAAAGCCAGAAGATAAGAAAAACAGCAATATAGAGTACAAAAGGAAGAGAATAAAAGAAAAGAAATAGGTTTTGCTCTTTCAGTGACTGACAATTTTTAATTCATATTTTCAAAAACAATAATAGGAGGAACTCCATAAAAACTGGCAGTTTTATGGAGAAAGGGGAGACATTTTTGTCAGTGGTGTGGCCTGGTTAAGTTGCCTGTACTTCTCCAAATAACCCTTCATTCATAAAAGTAATCATAATCAAACTTCCTGAGCTAAAACAAAGAAAAAAGGAAGCTGAAGACGAGGATTTAGTATTTATTGGGAGCAGGCAGAGTAGTAACAAGAACAAGAGAGGGTAATGAGGGTTTGAATGTGATCAAAATACATTATGTACAGATATGAAAATGTTGTAGTGAAACCCATGTTTATGAATAATTAATATAGACAGAAAAACTTAAAAAAATTCCAAACCTAGCCTCTTTATTCAGAATTGTATTTAATTTATACTATTTCCAGCTCCCAGAGTGTAGCTTTGAGAATTGTGCTTTGTGCTTTGCTCATACAGGAAAGGTATCCTGTTCAAGTGACTTCCACTTTCTTTATAAGTTTTGGTAAGACTTAATGATGGTTTGTATGTTTGACATTAGAGATCGAGGGGCAAAAGGCAGTACATTTGACTCATTTTTAGACTAAGTGTTGTAATCATACTATTCATAAAAAGTCTATACAGGGACGGAAGTGAGGAATCTGGCCCCGATTCCTATCTGCCTGATTCATAAAGTGACTCTCAAAGAAAATAACTTCATATTAGTTTACTTTATGTACTGTCTGGTTTTCTTTTTGTGTTATCATGACCAAAAGTAATGTAAACAGAAAAGGATTTATGCTAGCTTACCGTTAGCCTATCTTTAAGGGAAGTCAGGGCAGGAACTCAAGGTGGGAACCTAGAGACAGGAATTGAAGCAGAGACCTTGGAAGACTGCTGCTTACTGGCTTGCCTCTTATGGCTTGCTCAGCTGGCTCTCTTAAACAACACAGGTCTACTTGCACAGGTACGGCACTGTCCCTAGTAGGCTAGGCCCTCCCACATGAGTCATTACACAAAATTGCCTCAGACTCATCTACCGTCCAGTGTAGGCATTTTCTCAATTGAGGTTCCCTTTTCACAGATGACTCTAGTTTGTTTCAAGTTTGCAGAAAACTAATCAGGACACTTCTGCACTAGGAAAGATTGGTGACCTCTGTCCTAAATGTGGTTTTATATCTTCTAGCATTATTTATGATTACTTTTTTTGGAAATTGCCAAAATGCCATGTAATAGTCAAATAGTAGAACCCCATAGCATTTTATGAAAGTAGCATAATTCATATAATGTGAATATGTGTTTTATTCTTGTGTATATTCTTTATTTCATAATGGATATATATAGTCATCAAATCTAGGAAGGGTAACTCTAAAACCACAAGGCAATTTTTTTAGGGACAGAAAAACTAATATTACATGCTGTAAAAAATAAAAAATTATCTCAGAAGTTGAAACATTTTATTTGAGGCTGAGGAGATTATAGAAGAAGGGGACTGAAAAGTTTACAGTTAGTACTACTGTGTTATACAGTTAGATGGGAAGGAAGTTCTTATATTGTATTGGAACATAACATGGTAGGATGAATATAATCAAAAGCAACATATTGTATACCAAAAAGAGGAAAGGCTTTTGAATGTGTTAATAAAGAAATGATAAAAGTAAAGGTAATGGGTATAATAATTACTGTTATTTAATCATTATTCAATGTAAAAATGAGTCAAAAAATCATGCATAATGTTGGGCCCCGGCCGGGCGTTAGTGGCGCACGCCTTTAATCCCAGCACTTGGGAGGCAGAGGCAGGTGGATCTCTGAGTGTTCGAGGCCAGCCTGGTCTACAAGAGCTAGTTCCAGGACAGCCTCAAAGCCACAGAGAAACACTGTCTCGAAAAACCAAAAAAAAAAAAAAAAAAAAAAAAAAAAAACAATGTTGGGCCCCAGCCTTCATGAAGTCTCTGTGAGTTTCTTGTCAGCCAATAACCACAGGTACATCTTGTTTTCTAGTCCTGGCTTACAGCCCTGGCCTTGCCCCACTGGCATCAACCTCTAATTATGAAAACACAAACTCTTAACACCTGGAGTTTCTCCACTGTGCTGTAAATCTGTGTATAAGGCTGCTTCCTCCTTGCAGTAAACATTCTCTTAGCACAAATGGCTGGACGTCTTGTCTTTCATTTAAATCTTCAGGCTTTGCCCTATACATTATACTTGCTCGTGACGCACAGCATAACTTTATAAAAATTCCAATTCTAGTACCCATTTCAAAAAAAGGTTTAGGGGCTGAAGAGAGATACATCAGTGGTTAAAGCACTTCTCTTGCAGAGGACCTAGATTTAGGTCCCATCACCCACATGGCTGCTCATAACTACACGTGACTCAAGTCCTATAAAGGAGCCTGACACTCTAGTCTGACGTGTGACCTTGAAGGGAACTACACACATATGTACATATATAAATGCAGGCATGCATACACATGAAATAAAACAAATCTTTTAATAATATAAGCTACAGGTACTTTTAAGTTTCTTGCTTGGCAAGAATGAAATGTAGATGGTATGTGATAATTAGTCAAACTGCAGCTACAACATTGAAGGTATTTAATATTTATGGAATGGCTTAACTCATAAAAATAAGGGATAAGTGAAAGATTGTAGAACAGGGCTTAGAGCCAAAATGATTTTATGGCTAAACAAACTTGTTCAGTTGATTTCAGATCCTACTTTTGTTGTACCCTCCATATCTTACTATCTTTAATAAATCCAAAATCTAAACTTAATCCTTGCTTTTCAAGTTGTTCTTGCCTTTTGAATGTTTTAGGATATTTTGTTATTCCCCAATACCAATTCCCTACTCCTTTCACTATTACCTTGTCTACTTTACTTGTTATTGTTTTTCATCTGTTCCCCAGAGGGACTAAATGTACAATATTATTGAACAGTTACTGTGAACAAGGACTTTGTGTTAATTTTAGAACTCTGATTTTGTCTTTTCTTGTGATAGAAAATATAACATCAAGTAGTTTATAGTCTCTTCTATATATCTTAATCTACAAGTATGTTAGTGTAACCATTAACTTTCATAAATATTAAAATATACATTTTTGGAGAACATAACCCTTGTACCATACCTTTCCGTAAGTCATTTCATAGGTTCGGAAGAGAATCACATACCAAGTATAATATGGAGTAGCTTCTATTGAAAGCCAGATCTAACATTTAGGGTATAATGTTAACCCATTATTAATTTGAAGACTCGCATTAAAAATGTTTGTAAGTTCCAGTTTTTCCTGTGATTTTTTTTTTCTATCCCCACAGGAAGGTTTTAAATAAGGGATAGTGCTTTGTCAAAGTAATGCCATTGATATACATACACAATACATACCTTTTAAGTAATTTCCTTGTTCAAGTCTCCCTCCTGACACCTGTGTTTCTGTGATTGAATCCAGGGTTTTAGCATGCTTGGCAAATTCTCTACCACTGACCTGCAGCCATTGCTTTCAAGTGATTTTTCTATAGTAGGGTAGGTTGGCTCCATCCCATGCTTTTTTTTCCTTAAAATTAAAAGTAGCATTGTTTCTATTAGTCTTATAAAAGTCCTTAGAAATAGCTTGTCTTTCCTAGTTTTGAGTTCATGTATGTTAACATATTCCTCAGGAAAATTTTAGAAATAAGGCTGGACCTTTAATACCAGCACTCAGAAGCAGAGGCAAGCAAACCTTTGTGAGATCAAGGCCAGACTGGTCTACTTAGCAGATTGCCAGCCAGCTCTGTCTCAAAAAAAAAAAAAAATTAATTAATTAAAAAATACAGAAACATAAATAACAATCTTTCTTACCTCTCGTTTTATATTTAAAAAAATGGGATGGAGTGGGGTTGTGGTTCCATTCCATCACAGGGAAAAAGCACATCTTATTAGGACATACTTATGCTTAAGGACAAGATCTCACTATTTAGCCCTGGCTGACCTGGAGCTCACTAAGTAGACCAGGCTTACCTTGAACTTACAGAAATTCACCTGCCTCTGCCCCCTATGTGCTGGGATTAAAGATGTGAGCCACAATGTCCAACTAATACACTTATTTTAATTTAATAAATAAAAGTTACATTCCTCTTTTATGAGTCAGGTTTTTTTTTCAGTATTTTTCCTGTTTCCTAGATATATTTAGAATGTTATTTGATGTTTTTACTTTTGTGAGTTTAGAAATTGAGAAGTTGTCTGTGATGATAGTAGAAGCAATCTGTTCCTTACAGGAGGACCTAATCTCTAGAACCCACATTTAAAATGGTGTTCATGCTCTAATACCAAGCTAGGTGGCTGCTGCTTGGAGAACGGCAGCAAACTTGTTGTCTTGCCTGCATATACATATACATGTAGTTTCATTCACACACCCATATGTGCACACCTGCATGTACATAAACACACAGAGAGTATAAAGGAAACTTGACAGTGAAATGAAGTAGAATGATGCCACCTTGCAGAAAATTCTGTTGATCTGTCTTTTATCACAGACCTGGCTCCTCATGATATACTGAGTGTTTCCATGAATGATAATGATCTAAAGACTCACATGTGACAGAAAAGGAAATGATTGTTGTATCCACAGCATAGAATAATTGTGTTAAGATTTTCAGATGCTGACTTAATAGCATACTTAAGAAGCATTTATATTATAAAAGAATTACCTGTGTTTCTTGCTAAAAAAGAAAAAAAACTAAAAACACTTATTAGGCTTCTTCCTATAGGTGGTCTGAAATAATTCCAGGAATTACCATATATATATAAATTTATTAGGGTTTTTGGTTTTTTGTTTGCTTGTTTTGTGTAACCCAGGCTGTCGTGGAGTTCACTTTGTAGACCATGCTGACCTGGAACTCAGTGATCTGCCTGCCCCTGCTGGGATTAAAGGCATGCACCACCACATGGCAGGAATTGCCATTTTAATGAGCATTTCTAGATTTTGTGAGACAGATTTTTCTAGGTTTGCTCTGGAAGAAAAACTTACGAAAAAGCCCTACAACTAAAAATTACGTACAATAAACAAATTACTTATATCTTTACTTTAAAAGTGCATAAATGGGGGCCTAGGTCCTCCCACAAATGATGTGATGGACTTTGATGGTCCACTGTGGAGGGCCTCACTATCCTTGGGGAGTGTGTGGGGGTTGGGTTGGGGGGGGTCAGTGGGAAGCATGGGAGGATGGGAGTGGGAGGGAATGGGGAAACTGATATGTAAATAAGAGTGCTTCTAAAATAAAAAAATAAAATATAAAAAAGTGCATATGTGGAAAATTTCATGTTACAACCAATTTATGTGACAACTATTTTATTACTGAGAAGTATTTTCTTCAAATATTTAAGCACTCTTGATTCCAAGGTGTCCCAGATACTTTACTTTCTGGTACTGTGAATCTAGTGAATCTAGGGAATGGCAGTTTAGCTGTGTAAAAGTCTAATTTTACCTAGCTTAGGAAGTTGTAGCTTTTTTGTGTTTGTTTGTTTGTTTGTTTTTGGTATTTCGAGACAGGTTTTCTCTTTGTATCCTTGGCTGTTCTGGAACTCACTTTGTAGACCAGGCTGGCCTCTGCTTCCTAAGTGCTGGGATTAAAGGTGTGCACCACCACCAGCAGGAAGTTTCCATATAACCTGATAGATACATCAAAACATGTAACACTAATCTTCCTCATGTACTGTTGACAGGTTAAGAATGATTTTTGGTTAAGAAACAAATGACTATTAAATATGTATATAAGCAGCCAAATTGCATGGGAAAAGTTTAGAATCTATAGCCAAGTCCTAGTCTTAAGGTTTTTTTTCATCTCTTTTTAAATTTTTGTTTTGTTAAGATAATGTTTATGGGCTGGCGAGATGGCTCAGCTGTTAAAGGTGCTTGCCGCCAAACCTGACGACTTGAGTTTGATCCCTGGAACCCACATGGTGGAAGGAAAGAACCGACGTTCGCAGGTTGTCCTCTGACCTCCACAAGTGCACTATGGCACTCACACTCCCATACATAACATATTCGCTAAACAAATAATCTATTTTTAAAAAGATATTTACTTTTCTAAGCTTTTTTGAATATTCACCACAGACTTTCACTATTTCTTCCAGATATCTTACCAAGCATAGTTTTATGTGGTTTAACCTTAGATGAAAACATAAATTTTTTTTGCTATTATTCTGTAATAAATAAGGCATCTTTTTTTTCCTTTTCTAGTATTGTTGTCCAGACATGATAAATAACTTTTTGGGGTTGAATAAAATAGAAATATCAAATACAGCAAATGAAGCTAAGACTCTTGATTCAGAGAAAGGAAAATTGATCATGTTAGTTAATGACTTTTATTATGGAAAACATGAAGGAGATGTCCAGGAAGAACAGAAGACTCATACAACCTTTAAGTGCTTCAGTTGTTTGAAAGTTCTCAAAAATAATATTAGGTATGTAAATATGTATTTTTTTTTATCTAATGAAACTTGAAATACTAAAGATGTAACCATTGTGTCTTTATCATACACTGTCTTGCTATTCTAGGTAAGCAATTTCAGTATTTTCTCCTTTGTTGTATTTTCAGATTCTTCTCTTAAATCTCCTTTTCCTTTCATATGGCTTAAGAAAGGACAAAGATGCCAGGTGTTGGTGGCGCACACCCTTAATCCCAGCACTCAGGAGGCAGAGGCAGGCGGATCTCTGTGAGTTTGAGGCCAGCCTGGTCTACAGAGCAAGTTCCAGGACAGCCTCTAAAGCAATACAGAGAAACCCGGTCTCAAAAAACTAAAAGAAAGAAAGGACAAAGATTATTTTAATTTGGAGCAAAATGAACTTATTAATATTCTGGGAATTTTGTTGTGTAGTTTTAATTTTCTGATGTCTCTGACTAGTATAATTTCTTTACAATGCAAGTAGTTCTCTAAAAGATCCCAAATTGACTTCTTCACTACTAATACTATTTGTTCAAATCTACTTTATATCTATCACCTTTATAATATATATATATATCTTATGGCAATTGTGATCTTTTTGGAGATTTACTAATTTCTAAAGACATATTTTGTTTAATTTTAAAATTTAAGTAAAAATTAGATTATCTCATTCTTAATGGAATTTTAAAAATTTATATACAAATATTTTAGATTTTAGGAATCTTTGAGTGGCATATGATATAAAAATACCACCCATGGGGCTGGAAAGATGGCTCAGAGGTTAAGAGCACTGGCTGTTCTAACAGAGGTCCTCAGCTCAATTCTCAGCAACCATCTTCTGGCCTGAAGGATACGTGCAGTGCAGACAGAACAATGTATATATAATAAATAAATCTTAAAAAACAAAACAAAACAACAACAACAACAACAAAAACCACCTATGGGTGTTGGAGAGATTGCTCAGTGGTTAAAAGTGCTGATTGCTCTTCCAGAGGACCTGGGTTCAATTCCCAGTACACCACATAGTGGCTCACAATTGTCTGTAATTCCATCCAGTTCCAGGAAACCCGATATTCATAGTAAAATACCAGTGTAGATAAAATAAGAATAAATTTTATGAAATATCACCTATGTCACTTGTGGTGGTGCGCGCCCAGCACTCAGGAGGCAGAGGCAGGTGGATCTCTGTGAGTCGAAGCCAGCGTGGTCTACAGAATGAGTTCTTGGACAGCTAGGGCTGCACAGAGAAACCTCATCTCAAAAAACCAAAACAAAACATTGTATACACCAACAGTTGCAGAGTTCATTCATTTTTCTGTCATCTGTGGCTTTCTGTTGTTATGATAATACTTTGTACATTCCCCAATAACTTTAAGAGCTAGTGGTCCCTGTTGTCCAACAGGGAAATTGTGCTTTGGATGTAATACTGAAGCAGTATTAAAGTGGACCTCCACCACTTAGTTCCATATTCTTACCATTACAAGATTCAGTTTGTGATAGAGTGTAAAGTGTATAAGTGTGATTCACTGTTTTTATTCCCTGTTAAATGGGATATATACTGTAATTCATTTTAGCAAAAGTGTTTTTATCTTTTAAGATTAGCCCATTTAATATTCAACATGAAAAGTGACTTTCTAGTAATTATTTCAGGACATTAGTTTCATGTATTTATATTATTAGAATATTTAGAATATCTAGTAACATATAAAAACTGAACCAGAAAACTATTGCTTGAGAAATGTAACCTTAATGGTAAATACCTCATGACCAAAGGAATTAAATATGTAGTATTTTACCCCAATTTTTTTTTTCTTCAGTAAAATCTGGGAAAGTGAAGTGGATTTTTGGTATTTTGCTTTGTTTTTGAGATAAAATCTTGCTGTATAGTCCTGGTAGGCACCATACTCACAAGAGATCTGCCTTTTTTCGCTCCCAAGTGCTAGGATAGGTATGTGCCACCATGTTTGTGGCCTTGTTTATAATTTATATAATGGTAAGAAACATATCAAGATTTCTGTTCTGACTCGTCAGTACAGGTTTTTTCATTACTGTTTTGTCCCCTATTAGATTTAACTAAAAACAGGTAAGTCATTGTAAGAAGTTTGCCCTTTTCTCCCTGTTCCCATATATTGGCATGAGAACTATGCATTCCAGTTAGGTCTTATGTAAACATTAAGAGAAATTAACCAGCTAGTTAATGCATTACTTTATATAAATATACTTTAGTTCAATGTGTGGCTTGTGGTATTTTGGCTATATTTAAATATTTAACCAAGACTAGTGTTTTTAGTAGGTCTTTGTAGAGCTAGTGTTAAAACCAAAGGAAAGAAAAAAGGATATTTCAAAGTATATTACAATTTTCTTTGAAGAGATAATATTTTTCAGAGATAAGAGGAAGAGACAGATGTCACAGCCTTCATGATGGCCGTTCTCTGGATTAATAGCATTATCGTATAGTTTCATGATCATTTCCATGAAGCCTCCAACTGAGTAATTTTTTTAATAGTTGACCGAGTCTAAAAATTATCTTGATCAAATAGTATTACTTTCTAATTCAGCAAAAAGCTTCAGTAAGTTCCTTTAAATAGGTATTCCTATTTATACCATAGTCTGAACTTAGGGTCATAGTTCTGCTCATAAGAAGCCTTTTAAGGACACTGAAATAGCAAAGTGTAAAACTGAAAAATTTAGATTGCCTTACAAAGGACACAGTCTGCAAGTTAAAGTGAACAGTTTATGCTAACAGTAAAGAGTGTCACTAAATAAAATGAAAAAAATTTTGTAATTGTAGGCATTAAAATTGCTATTGTATGCATTTAAAAACAAAGACGCAAGTAAAAAATGCTAGTAGCTGGAGTTTATTGTTTATCTTCAAGGTCTTAAAGGGTTTTTCTCATGACTTTAGCTGCTTTTGCTGATAGGATTCCCTTCCAATATTAAATTTTACAATGTAAATAGTACTTCACATGGTAAAGAAACCTGTTATTTTGTCTAAAACAGTCAACTGAAAATGAAGATGAAAAAAAGATATTTACTTAGCCACTTAAGTCATTTAAAACATGCACTTTTCTAGAGAAATTGAAGACTGAAAATCTAGAATAAATATTCACTATTTTATTTATAGTGGGTTTGAGAGTTTCTTTCAGTGTTTTAATTTGAGCCTTTGCTCCTGTCGACATCTTTTACAGATTTATGAACCATATGAAACACCATTTGGAGCTTGAGAAGCAGAGCAGTGAGAGCTGGGAGAAGCACACCACTTGCCAGCACTGCTACCGCCAGTTCCCGACCCCCTTCCAGCTGCAGTGTCACATTGAGAGCACACACACGCTTCATGACTTTTCTAGTGAGTTGCAGCCATGTTTCAGTCTTGAATGTTCCTGGTTTTGACTGTTGAAGCTGAGAAAATCTTGAGGAAACTGATAGAGAAATAAGAACAAGAAATAGACTTTGAATTTTGGGGGCAAAATTGAAGAAGTTAACTTACTCTAACAGCTTCAGTTCAAATCCTAGATGTGTGTCTTGGAATAGCCACATGAATACAGGCAGGGTATATAGTACCGAGACAATAAGACATGGGCCATGCATTTGTGGTAGTGCTAAAGATTAGAAGAACTACACTGAGTTACGTGTGTGTGTGTGTGTGTGTGTGTGTGTGTGTGTATGACTGCTCACTACCTCTAACTGCTGTTTCTGCTGATATACTTATTGATTCCGTTATCCAAAAAAGAACCTTTATATTTACGTATTAAAATGTTGTTCTTTTCTTCCTACTTATAGCCATTTGTAAAATCTGTGAACTATCGTTTGAAACTGAACAGATTCTTTTACAACATATGAAGGATAATCATAAGCCTGGTGAAATGCCATACATCTGCCAGGTACATCCATGTTTTATAGTGTTATTAACTGTTTGTTGTTTTGATGTTAAGATTTGTAGATGTTGCCGGGCATTGGTGGCACACGCCTTTAATCCCAGCACTCGGGAGGCAGAGGCAGGCGGATCTCTGTGAGTTCGAGGCCATCCTGGTCTACAGAGCAAGTTCTAGGACAGCCTCCAAAACAATGCAGAGAAACCCTGTCTCGAAACCCTCCCCCCCTCAAAAAAAAAAAAGAAGATTTGTACATGTTAGATAAATTGTTAGAAATTTTCTCTTTTACTTAAGGAAACAAACAGTAAACATTTAGTTTTACAGGGGGATACAGTCTTTGTCACAGCCTGTCAACTCTCCCATTGTGGTACCCAACATCAAGTGAAAGAAAATGAATGGATGTGTTTGTGTTCTAATAAAACTTTATGAACTCTGATTTTTGAATTTCATATAATTTTCATGTGTGGTAAAAATATTGGTCTTTACCATTTAGATAGAAATGGTAGCTAAAATTAAAGTCCTTCCTATTTAATTTACTAGTACTGTTTTATGTAGATATAAAGTATTTTTGATTTTTCTTTTTTCTTTTTGGTTTTTTGAGACAGGGTTTCTCTGTTTTGTTTTGTAGCTCGCTCTGTAGAACAGGCTGGCCTCGAACTCACAGAGATTCACTTGCCTCTGTCTCCTGAGTTCTGGGATTAAAGGCATGTGCCACCAACGCCCGGCATAGAATATTTTTATAGGACTCCAAAACCTTTAGAAGTTTCCAAAGCTTCAGTATTCAAGACGAGATGGGGTGATATAGAAGTGATCTGATAAAAATGAAGGTACCTATTTCGGGAGGCAGTCTTGAGCTCTGACGTATCTCCTGCTTTTTGGTGCCTTCATTAGTGAGTGTCTTGCATGAATAGGCATCAGAGCTGGATTGGTAATATATAATCTAATAAGCGAACCATCTTTGTTACTAGGTAGTTGCAAATCAGTTACAAACTTATCATTTTAACATCACATTTTTATTTCTAGGTTTGCAATTACAGATCATCTTTATTTTCTGATGTAGAATCTCATTTTAGAACAGCACATGAAAACACTAAGAATTTGCTATGTCCATTCTGCCTCAAAGTTATTAAAATTGCCACACCCTATATGCATCATTACATGAAGCATCAGGTGAGTTTAATAATTCTTATTTTTTTCATGTTACCTCATTATCACTCAGAATATTAAATTTGTTCGTCAGAGGGAGTGAAGTTGCCACATATACAGGTGTATACAGAATCACCTGTAAAACTTCCTCTTCTTTTCTTTCCTTACTACTTTTCTAGTGATTCTTGGTCTATAAATAGTGATGAGTTTCAATGATGGCAAGAAATAGGAAGCCTAGGATTGAGACAAAACAGAAGGCAAATGAAATATGGGAAGGATTGGCTACTTCAGGGTCTCAGTACATATGAGAATGATTTTGAAGCGCCCTCTCAGGAGGAGGAAAAAATTAGTTAGAATTGAGAAAGAATCAAGATAGAGAATTCTTAATCTTTTTTTCCTCTTGTCTTGTTTTTCTCTCCACTGTCTAGACCCCTGGTATTATGATAAGATGTGTTGTCATTGTTGACCTAAAGTACTTTTTCATAGTTACATGACAAAGGAAACAGTACTTGATCAATATTTTATTTTGCCGGAGCACAGCTTGTTTCATGAATGACTTATGCTAGCTTTAGCTATGTAATTTCTGGAACTCATTATTAGTTGTTGAATCCTTCCTTGCATTTCTGATGTGATGCTTTTTTGGTTCTTTTCCTGGGGCAATTAAGCTATCCATTGAGCTAACAATGTTGCTGCATCACTGAAACCTGTCTTTAGCAGCAATGCCTTTGTTGGAATCAAACCCATGTCTACATTGGATCTGATAGTGTGGTCAGGATTTGCCAGCTCACTGCAAAGCTCAGTGAATTTGTACTTTTTAAAATCTGCATACCAGGAGATGCAAGTGATTATAGGGAAAACAGTTCTGGGAAATGAACTCATGTGAACTGTGTTACCAGCCTGTTATGTTTCTGATTCTTGACCATATTTTCTGTTTTAATTTATTTGTGTTGTCTGCATCTGTGAAAAAAATGAATGAATCATGCTTATTAAATAATCTTAAGATGAAGCTACAACTCTAACGTCCTACTATTATGCTTTGAGCATTGTAACTTGTCTGTTCTTTTAAAATACTTTTTTAAAAGAATGCTTTAATATGATTTGGTATTTGCACTGTGTGTGTGACTAGTGCCTGCAGAGGTCAGAAAAAGACTTCCATTGGGTCCCCTGGAATTGCAGTTACAGATGGTTGTGAGCACCATATAGATCTTGGAAATTAAACCTTGGTCCTCTGGAAGAGAAGCCAGTGCTCTTAACCATGAAGTCATCTCTCCAGCTCCTCTTTTAAAATACTGTTTTGTCATATAGCAGTTGTATATTTTGTGGGATACAGTGTGCTAATTTGGTACAATTATACTGTATACAATAAGCAGATCAGAGTAATAACATTTTCCCTAGTCCTTTACACTTCTTTGTATTCAGTAATCATGGGTGACTAATAATGATAATCATGTTGGACAGCACAGGCATGGAATGTTTTCTTGCTACAGGAAGTTTATTGAATAACACTGTTTTCATTTCTTAGAAATGTACAGTTAAATTTATTTGGTTTTAGAGAGGTCATTTTATCCATATACAGACTAATGGGAAATAGCAAAATGTTAAAAATAACATTTAAAAAATTGTATGTGTGTGGGTATATGTACATGGTAGGGATTGAACTTGGATCCTCTGGAAGAACAGTACAAGCACTTAACCTGCTGAGCCATCTCTCCAGCCCCTTCTATATAAAAACATAGAATAACTAATTTTTATAGTATCGGGTCCTTAAATGCTTGGCTAATAACTAAAAGACATTTCATACCACCATTTTTGTTTGTTTGGTTTTGAGACAGGATCGCACTATGTAGCCCTGGTTGTCCTAGATCAGGCTGGCCTCAATCTCAGTGGTCCACCTGCTTCTGCCTTCTGAGTGCTAGGATTAAAAGTGTACTCCACCACCCTGAGCCAGGAATCTCATTAGAAACTTTTATATAACTTTAATAATTTTGTTTTAAAGATTATTTTTATTTTGTATGTATGGGTGTGTTGCTCTCATATGTCTGTGCACCACATGCAGAGCCATAAAAGTGTGTTGGGGCCCTTGGAACTGAAGTTACAGACAATTTGTTAGCCACCATTTGGGAGCTAGCAGTCATTTCTTTAACTCTCATGTCCGTTTACCACATAACAGGTACTCTTGATATCCAATACTAATTAATACAGGTTTTAAAAATGAGATGATTCTTTGATAATTATTTATTGTAGTAAGGTATCATTAAAACTAAGAGTTCCAGAACAGGTTTTATGGCTATAGAAATTACTTTCTTTTTTTTTCTAATAGAAAAAGGGAATACATCGTTGTACCAAATGCAGATTGCAGTTTTTGACATGCAAGGAGAAAATGGATCACAAGACTCAACATCACCGAACATTTGTAAAACCTAAGCAGCTAGAAGGACTGCCCCCTGGAACAAAAGTATGTTCAAATGCGTGTTATTACTTCATTTGTATACTAAAAATTGACTCCTGCCTAGTTTTATCTATGGAACAAAATATGTTAGAAACAACATGATTTTTATTAAGACTAATTTTAGATTTTACTGCTTTTGTGCTTAGAAAGAGAAACATCTAACCATTGTTTTGAGCTTAGTGGTGGGTATATTCATTCCTTCTTAAAAAGTGCAATTGAATAGGCTTCTCCATTTATCAGGGTTATTTCAATACTGTATGGCTATTTGAGCTTTTCTGGTTAGTTGTATATGTATTGGTTTTAATAGCTGTTCACTGAGACATTTGATGTCAGGAATCATATTTTTTCATTTATCTTTGTATCTCCAGCATCTTTTAGAGTACCTAATGCTACAGGTTCTCGATGTTTGTTGAAGTTGTTATTGCTGAGTCTACTCTCAAAGAAGCAAATTCTGTTGCTGGACAGCATTGTGAGCAAGCCCTTATCTGACTATAAATTGATGATTGTAACATACTGTTCCCTTTTTGCCTTATATACATCTGTTTTCTCTGACTTCTTTATATACAGTCAGCTCTTGAATATTTGCTCCAGTGGAGAGAAAACAGAGGCATGGATAATCCAAAGTGAAACAATCCCCAAAACATTTATATTTGGCTTTGGGTACTTACCTTTGAATGTGGGTATGTCTTTTATTTGAATTGACTAAATAATGTAAAGCCATGCTCTGAAGACTTAGAGCAAGAGGAGCTAGCCAGCATCCTACCCTGCAATTCATTCATTTCATGCTGGGACTACACATGCAGAATACTAATGATGTAAGCAGTGCAGTCCTCTCTCATTTCTTTCCAAATTAATAGTAATAATATTAATGACACTAAATGTTTTTCTACCACCTTAGAATTACCTAATTCTAAGCGTACTTTTCCTACTACTTAATCCATATAGCAGTAAATGATGTACCTAAAGTTGGTATTACTCTATGTGATAGATATGGAAAGGCTTAAGACTCAGTTACTTTTTCAAGGTCATGCAGCTAGGAAGGCAGATTTAACTTCAGTTCTTTTGATTCTTGGTGCAGTTTTTTTGCACATTATACAAGCACATGTGTTAATAGGATTTCATCATTGGCTGTCCCTTGGATATGAGGAGAGTATAGTCAAATTAATTAAGGAAAATGTTGGTAGGTGATTGCATTTTCATTGTCAACCAACAGATGTAACAATATGTTTCTGAACATTAAATAATAAGCCTTATTAGTTCTGTTGAAGAATTTTAAATGTAATATTCTCCTTATGGAATAATGAATTGATACAATCACTTGCACAAATCATAGACAGTGTGATCAAGAAAGAATAAGTCACTCTTGCTGTTGATATTTGCTTAATACTAATAATTTTAAAGGGTAACAGACCTTGCTAGAGTTATTTTTTTCAGTCTTTATTAAGTTTTGGGTTCTTCTTTTTGAGAATTACTTTTAGTTTTATCAGAGCTTAAAAATGGCTATGAAATGTGATCTTCTTAGAGTCATACAATTTGTATTAATGTTATTTACTATTAACAATGTTAACATACAACTGATAATAATATGAATTGAATTAATTTAATTGACTTAATATTTAAAATAAATAGATGACTAAGCCTAGTTAGTTATCTGTGCTTTTTAAAATATGCTTAAGATTTAACTTATTTTAAATAAACATTTTCTTCATTTTTTAGGTTACCATTCGAGCTTCAGTTGGACCTCTTCAGTCAGGACCTTCAGCTACACCTTCCATCAGTGCAAGTACTTCTACCCTCCAGCTCTCACCTGCAGGGACTGAAAATGTAACTTCTAAAACCCCCACTAACTTGGATACAAGTACATCGAATACAACTGTATCTGAGCCCAGTAAACCTAATGAAAGCAAGTCTAATGGAAATAAATCTAAAAACAAGTCAAAAGTCTGTAATACACAGAAGAAACAAAGCACACCGACTAATAGTAATAAAAAAAGTAAAGTGAATACAGCTTTGAGGAACTTAAGGTAATGCTCTACTCCTGATGCACATTCCCAGTTTAAACTCAAGTATAGAAACATTATGTTTAGCCCTCTCTCACTGTTTTTGTTTTAAAATATCTTTTTTATGTCTCCACAAGGTTACGGCGAGGTGTTCACGAGTGTATTGAGTGTTGTTCTGAAATAAAAGATTTTGCAAACCATTTTCCTACATATGTCCACTGTAGTTTTTGCAGATACAACACTAGCTGTAGCAAAGCCTATGTAAATCACATGATGAGGTAAGATGAGTTCAGTCAGTGTTTTGCCTACTATAATTATAATTGAAGAAGCTTTTATTTTGAAAACAAATGGTCTATATGAGAAGTCTAATAGTCTTTTCTGTTATAACAAAGCAAATCAAGAAATTACTGTATGAAATGATTAATTAAACAATGAAATTAAGATAAATTTGTTAAAAGAGTAATTATTCTGTTGGTTTCATTTTATTCTCTGAAAATGTTTTTAAATGGTTCTTTTCAAATGTAAATTTAAATGTTTAAATATCTTTAATGGACAAATCCATGTACTCCCATGACCATTACTCTCTTCAAAGTAGACTTGAGGATTTTCAGTGGTGCTAGGAACTTTATTGGGTTTGTTCCCCTGCATCTTTCTCTGTAGCCTCATTGTCAGCCGTCTGTTTCTCTGAAGCTTATGTGCTTACATTCAGTGAATATCATGACGCCACTGTTGGAATTCTTTCCAATAATGCATTCGTTCTACACTGAGTCCTGTCCTTTGCTCTATGATAGATTCATTCTCATGATCCACATTTGGATATTACTATTATTGAACATGTTATTCTTCTAGGATAGACTTTTAAAATGTATATCATTTTAAGATTTTTTTTATTTAAGCATATTTGTGTTTGTGAGTGTATGGCACATGTATATGGGTGCCTGTGCAGACAAGAAGAGGGTGTCTAAAGATAGAGTTATAGACAGCTATGCGCTGCCTTTATGGGCTCTGGGAACTGAACCTGGGTCCTGAAGAGAAACAAGCACCATGGCTTTTTTATTTTTAAAGAATTGTCATAATTGCCCTTTTATAAATAACCCTGATATATTGCTTATTCAGAATGATGCTGTTCTGAGGTTGTTTGGATAGAATTCATGTATAGTTGACTTTCATAGCCTGGCTTTCCTGTTGCATTTTGATTATTGCCAAATTCTGCTTTCAGAGGTCATCCTACCTTTGCGGTGGCTTTAGTACTTTGCCAGTACTGTCTTGGTGATTAGCTTGACCTCCTGGTACCTCAGCACTTTATCAGTGATTAAGCCCTCTTTCTTACCTAATAGGACCATTTGAATTCCTGCCTATGCTTCATTTCTTTGAATTCCTATTAGTCTATGGTGTTCAGCACCTATTAAGCTCTATTGTCACTGTATCATCAGGGTCATTATTTTCAGTCCTATTTTGTTTTCTCATTTATTCTGTAGTCATGTTCACTTGTCATAAAGACCAACATAACTTTTTCTCCTTTCCCCTCTTTATATAATGCTCAGTTCTGAAATGTCTGCGACATTTATACCAGCCTCACTTCATAATATAAAATTTTATATTTGTGTGTATGTTCTAAGGTTGTACACTGAAACATGGTGAGGTTGCAATAATACAGCCAGCTTATCTCTTTTGTTTTGTTTTCTGATTATTTGGTTATCTGAAGTTATTTGTGCTTCCAAATGTATCTCAATATTTTTTTTTTCCTCAGCTTCTGCTGTATTTCAGAGTTTTCGTTGGAGAGGTCTTTCTGTTCCTCTGTTATGGTCATTCCAAGGTTTTTATTTGTTTCTTTAAGGCTATTAGGAAAATTACTTCTGTGCTTGATTTCTTTCTTTCTCAGCACCTTGTCCATTTTTTAAAAAATTTTTAATCCAGGTGTTTCACTGTGTAGCCCAGATGGGCCTTGAACTTAAAATTCTCCTGTTCCCATCTCCCAAGTACTATAATTGCAGGTGTGTGTCACCGCATCTGGCTCCTTACCCCCCTTTTTGTTAATATACAAAATTATGGAGCTTGTGTTTTAAATCTAGATAACACAAAGGGAGGCAATATAAATTCTGTTGTTTATTGCTAGGGGTCAGATTAATTAGAAATTGTTATCAATGTAAGAATCCTGAATGTGAAGTTGGGTTTTAACAGGAGAGACAGTATCAAGAAATAACATAGGCCCCAAAATCTTTTTTGGTTTTTACGAGACAGGGTTTCTCTGTATTGTTTTAGAAGCTGTCAGTCCAGCCCGGCCTTGAACTCACAGAGATCCGCCTGCCTCTGCCTCTGGAGTGCTAGGATTAAAGGCGACCCCAAAATCATAAAAGGAGGACTAGTCTGAATCTTTTCAGGAGCCACCTTAAAATCATTGGCTTCTAATATGGCAAGATATTTGGCAGTAAGATCTTGGAGGTCAGATGGGTTGTCCCCCAAAATAATATCATCCATATAAATATAGAATAATATACTAGGATGACCAATCAAGGAAGAAAAAATATGTAACATATAATACTGACAAATAGGAGGGCTATTGGCCATGCCCTGGGGTAGGACAGTCCATTTATACATTCCATTGAAGGTATGGAAAAGGCAAATTTTTCTACATCACCCGGATGTAATGGGATAGAGAAAAAACAATCCTTAATATCAGTAATAGTTAAATAATGGGTGTTGGGAATTGCCGGAATCCAGGGGAGCTCCATTTGCCGGGTCCCAAAAGGTATCATCCTCTCATTTATATTCCTCAAATCATGTAAAAGCCTCCAAGAGGCATTGGACTTTTTTATAACAAAAATGGGGAATTCCAGAGGCTTGTTGAAAGTCGGTAGAGAACTGGTCAGTGGTACCCAAAAGCATGCCAAAATTAATTAGGACTACAGGGCGGGCTTTCTGATTTCATTCTGCCTGGATACGACATTCATCCGAACCCTAAAATCAAGTCAGGCTCAGGAGCCTACACTGGGCCTCACATTGTTGTTAAAATGTCTAGGTTTACCCAGTAACAAGACACAAACCGTCCCACGTGGAGTTTTGTTGGTGGACAGGGAAGGGGGGGTGAGGGATAACCAACCCGTGCAGAGCTGAGAGAGGATGAGAGTAAGAGAGAGAAAGTAAAAGAGTAAAAAAAAAAGCATAATTGGGCAGGGGTCAGTCCTTTAAAGGGGTCGGTTGCACCTGCGTGGTTCTCACAGAACTCTGGGCTGGCCAGAGTGTTGCCTGAGTGCATCTTGCTAGGTAACAGGGCAGGCCAGCGTAATGCCTGAACCTTTCACACATCCTAGCCTTTCTTAGGCCCAACACACTGCCAGAGATTAATTCAGCAGATTCATGGGTAACCTGAGATTTTTACATTTCTAAATAAGTTCTCGGGTGATGCTGGAACTGTGGTATGTTTCTTCACTTTTAGAAATAACTAATAAACCAGCCATGGCTTAGTATACAACAGTTAAAGGTCATATAGACCTGTGATCATATGGCTAAAAGTGTGGTTGGTGACCTTTTCTGTTCTGTGTTGAGTGGAGGTATTATTTTAGATTAGGAGTCCTTATTTTCATTTTATTTTTTTTTAAACTGCTGGTGGTAATCTTAAAGACCTCTATTGAAATATTTGGCATTAAAAATGTAAACAGTAGCCTTTAGTTCAAGTAGTAACTGCTTCTGTATCATTTACATTTTTTGGAATTAATTTGAATCCCCTTCCATCTATGTAAGCATACTAACACTAAAAAGTGGTAAATTGTTACTGATAATGACTCATATCATAGTGAATTATATCATTAGTAGAAATTAAAAATTGTTTTCAATGGTTAATAGATAAAAAGTTAGTTTAATGCTCTGTTTATTCCTCTTTTTATGTAGCAATAGCAATGAGATATTGATTAGGAGCATGCTTAGAGAAAATAGACGCCAATAGAGAAAACACAAAGGTGATACCCACAGGACTGGAAAGACATCTCAGCAGTTAAGAGGACCCACTGCTCTTTCAGCGTATTAGGGTTCTGTTCTGAGTATCCATGTGGCAGCTACAACCTTGTATACCTTCCTTTCCAGGAGATTCAGTGCCCTCCATGGGCAACAGGCATATACATGGTGCACAGACATATATACAGGCAAAATGTCCATATACGTAGACTAAAATAAAATACGTAGACTATATCCTTTGTTTTGTTTACACACCTACATAGAGGTCAGAGTAGGGAGACCCCCCTGGCCCATAAGTTTGAGATCAGTGTGTAGAAGTCCCATCTTGAGGAAGGTAGGGGATGATGAATTAAACAGAAAAGAAAGCAGTATTCTCAGCATGTTGTTTTGTTAGAAACTTAAGTATAGACTTTAAGTATATATAAATCAATGTGACTTTCTGTCCAGTAAAAATATTGTAATCATTTTTGTCTTTCCAGCTTTCATAGTAACCGTCCAAGTAAAAGGTTTTGTATATTTAAGAAGCATTCAGAAAATCTCAGGTAAATGAGTGATTTTTATATAATCTTCTGTTGAACAATGACTGTAATTTTTTTCTTATGTGATAACTTTTTAAAGCTAGAATTCATATCCTGTGTTAATTGCTTTTTCTGTTGCTATGATATAAATACCTGACAAGCACCTTAAGGAAAGAAGAGTTTATTTTGGCTCAATTCAAGGGTTCGGTCTGTTGTAGAGAAGTTGGGTGGCAAGAGATTGGGGTGCCTAATCACCTTGTGTCTGTAGTCAGGAAGCTTAGTCTGGCTCCCTTTCTTCTTTTTACTCGAAGACCCAATCTGTGGAGTGGTATACCTAGATTTAGAGTGGGTCTTCCCAGTTCACTTAACCTAGAAACTCTCTCACGGAAATGCTGGAAGTTTCTTTCTTAACCCCCTTCGATTAATAATTAAGATTAACCATTATACATGCATATTCTTCATGTGTTTAACATGTAATCTTAATAAATTTTATTATGTTCAGTTGTATTATCTATCAGTCATATAGTTAATATGTTTACATTTTTAGTACTTAAAAAGTAATCCCATTTATTAGTACTCATCCCCTATTTCCTTTCAACTCTGCCCATCAAGCAACTGTTAATGTTCTTTGTGCTGATAATAGACATTCTGGATGTTTTGTAAATAAATGGGATGGTATTCTGTGTGGTCCTTAGTGCCTGCGTTCAAGGTTCATCCATGGTGTAGAATGTAGCAATACTTATTTAAACTAATGAATAGTATTTTATTTACTTTATGAATATACCATAGGTTATTCATTTGGTTAGTTTTACATTTTGAGGTTATTACAAGTAATATTGCTATGAACAGTTTTCTTTTTTTGTAAAGTTTTTACAAACACTCATTTCTCTTTTGTGAGTATTTAAGATTAGGTTTACTGGGTTAAATTCCCTGTTAAGCCTTTGAGAAACTGATAGACTCTTTTTTCAATAGTTTCACTATTTTACATACTAGTACTATGTAAGAGATACAAATTTCTGTATCTTTCTAGCACTCGTTACTTGTTTTTTATTACAGGCATTCTAATAGATACAGAATGCTTTGTCATTGTAGTTTGCTATATCTTTTTAATGAACTCAGTGTCAGTGTGTCTGTTGGTTGCTTGTGACTAGATGTTACAGGGTTGTATTACTGTCATTAGATCAGATGTATGTCATAGTATTCATGGTAAATTCATTGTAGTAGTGACAGATGGGGACCAGGAGAAGTACATTTGCATTGTATGATGAGAACAAAAATCTTTCCAATATTTGAATAAAGCAGAGTTATCTAAGATATATAGGAAAATTAGAGCAGGGTGATGGTGGTGCACCACTTTAATCCCAGCACTCGGGAGGCATAGGAAGGAGGATCTTTGTGAATTCTAGGCCAGCCTAGTCTCCAGAGCTGTTTCCAGGACAGCCAAGGCTACTGAAAAAAAAAAAAAGATATAGGAAAGTAAATAAGTTATTTTATGTATTATTGTGTGTGTGTTTGCATGCACGCATAGTACATCACACATGTAGAGGTCAGAGGACAACTTTCAGAAGTTGGTTCTCTCCTTTTTTTGGTTCTAGGGGTTGACCTTAGATCATCAGCTTTTCATGTCAAGTGTTCTTAACTTGCTGAACTATCTCATCAGCTGGCTTCAATTTTTAGTAACTGGAAAGTACTGGGATGGTTTACATCAATATATAGTCTTCTTTCTTTTCTTACTCATTTACTGAAGGAGGTTGAGTTCAGCTTTGTATGAGGTGAGTTGTGGGTGAGTCAGCCATGTAGCTTGGGACTGTCAGCTAGTTAGGACTGATTTTGTCATTACAAATGAATCAGTGTGCTCAATATGGACTTTATTTCAAACCTAATTCTGACCCTTATCAGCTTTGTTTTTGGTAGACTATTAAGCTAATGCCAGCTAAAGAGATGATAATTACAGCATCTACTTCTTCAAATTGTTGTAAAATTTAGATGAGATTTGTCTGAAACCAGCTATACACAGAGTACTCCACTACTGATATCGTGAAGTGCTTCACAGTAAATATTTTAGAAAAGCAGAGTCAGAGACTAGTTGGAGCTCCAGTGTCAGGTGAATGGCATTGAACAAAGACCAGCCAGGAAGAAATATTTGGGGATTTTTAGTAGCAGTGCAGCCTGTAGGTGGAATGCAGTGTGTTGGAATTTCAGGGGAGATACTGTGGCCTATTTTCACATTCAAAAAATTAATATTTTATTACATGTATGGATGTTTTCCCTCATGTATGCCTGTGTTCATTCATGCCTGGTGCTTGCAGAGGCCAGAAGATGGTGTCTGCTCCTCTGAAACTGATTTTACTGATGATTGTGAGCCTCCATATGGGTGTTGGGAATTGAATCCAGGTCCTCCAGAAGAGTGGCCAATGTTTTTGCTGAACTCTCTCCTGCCCCTAGTTTCACTTTTTTTTTTTAAGTTGAATTTTGTTTTGTCTTGTTTGTTATCCAAGATAGAGTTTCTCTGTTTGGCCCTGACTGTCCTGGAACTCGCTCTATAGACCTGGCTGGCCCCAAACTCATATCTGCCTGCTTCTGCCTCCTGAGTGCTGGGACTGAAGGCATGCACCACCACATTATAAAATATTATGCTGTGACAAACTTCAGGCATGCATGCTTTGTTGTTAAACTGACAGTAACAATGATCACATTGCATGGTCATTTGTTTTTTTATCTAAGCAAAAATAATTTATTAAAGAGATTCTAAAGAATCTTATAGTCTGTCAGGGCATGGTGGCACGCGCCTTTAGTCCCAGCACTCAGGAGGCAGAGGCATGCCTAGTCTATAGAGTGAGTTCTAGGACAGTCAATGTTGTTACACAGAGAATCCCTGTCTTAAAAACAAACAAACAAACAAACATTTATAGTCTCCTCGAAGCAGAAGAATTACAACCAGAACTAATAAGAGAAACAAAGTCATTAGGAACCAAGCTCATAGCAGACTTCTAGCTTTTTCAGCTGTACAAAAGGTGAATGTTCCTAAAATATAAATACCTTTGAGGAGAAGAGGTGGTACTAGGAATGCACTCAACTGAGCATTTTAGGCCTTGAGCTCTGCCACTAAACTTTCCCCTATCTCTTAAACACAAATGCCTTATATATCAATAAATGATATCATAACTTGTATGTGGCTATATCATTTTCCAAAGGTTATATCAAGTTTATATAGCAAAATATAAGGTATGACACAAAAAGCATGGAAAAATAGTCTTGAGCCTATGTATGATTTCATAAAAAATAAAACCTTTTATTGCTTTTTTTCTTTAATAGGGGCATTTCTCTGGTGTGCCTTAATTGTGATTTCCTAACTGATGTTTCTGGCTTAGATAATATGGCTACACACTTAAGTCAACATGAAACTCATACTTGCCAAGTTTTAATAGAGAAAGGTATGTATGCATAACTATTTCAGATATTTTGTATTTATTATTTTTAGTCAGCCAAAATATGGGCTCTTTACTAAGTCTTTTTATTTCACTCATCATTGCTCATATACTCTTGTAAATGTGAAACTTTTCTTCTGATTTCAGTTTCTGTTTGTATCCCAACTTCTGAACATCTTTCTGAGTAAGTGTAATTTTTATTAAGTGTATTTTTCTTTGGTGGATTTTAGCACAATTGTATTAAGTGTGCCTTTATGAGGAGTGAAAAAATACTGAAGTCTTTTGTTTTTATTTTTAAGCTGCTTGTTGAAATAGGTTCCTGCTCTATGGAGCTCGTGACCTGGGGTTCAAGAGAAGTTGGAATTTCCTAAGTTCAAAGTTCTGAGATGTTTCTTACACAAGGCAACTATACAAGTCACATGACACCAGTGCTCTTTACTCTTTTCAGCTTTCACATGCGTCTAGATTCTTGTTCTGCCTTGTCTTTGTGTCAGATTCTCGTGTCGTAACATACTTTTTTCCTTCTCCAGTTGGCTCTCTAAAAATAACTTTTATTGCTGTGGTCTTTCTTTGCTTACAATAATTTGTGTTTTCTCTGCTGTACTTGCCTCCAGAGTAATGTATTCCAAATAATATAGCTGTTTATCTTTTTGTTTGTCTGCTTTCTTCTTACCTTATGCCTTGAGTTTTTAGACCAGATGGTTGTCTTTTTCCTCATTTCGTTGTCTGTCATTGTGCTATCTTTCTTATTTTTCAGATGCAGAAACAGCCCAGAGATTTCAAAACATGTCCAGGGTGTATCTGGACAGTGTCCCCTTCGATGGACACAAGTGCTGCCTGTTCTCTCTTTCCCAGGAATGAGAATGAACTGACTGTGGGACCTGTTCTAGGTTCTGGCCTACCATCAGACTGAGGCTGATTTGGCCAGAGGCAGCCTAAAAGCCAACCAAATTGAGCATGACTCCCATTGCTGGCTTTGGCTCTTGCTCTTAATCTTATGAGCCAATTGTAAACAAGCAAAGTCCATCAAATCAGTGCTTTGATATCCAAATTAAAATGTTGTCATTTTGGCTGCTGCCCTTAAATATTCCTCTAGCACAAAGGCAGTCCAGGAGGGCATGCAAACACCCTGGAGATAATGCTGTGTCTAGTCCCCAGACAACATTTCTCAATGACATGTTCTAAAATTATAGTTTTTTTTCTGTCATTGAAAATATATTGTCCCATATTAACTATAAGTTCAATATAATTCCCATTCTTTTTAACAATTTAAGTTAATTCAGATAGCTTGAGCTTCTGTTCTCTAAATTTATTGATGTCCATTTTTTCTATTTTCTAATACTTTAATGCTTGTTTCATTTTGTCAAGATCTTGAAAAATTCATGTAGGCTGCCTGTTTGTAGCTTTTCTATTAAGGTGTTGCTTAAACCACTATGTCCTCTGTCCCTACTTGAGGATTATTAACCTAAGTAATTGGGAGTTTTGGGGTGAGACTGCTTGAAGATTATAAAAACAAATTTTAAAGTAACAATTAATATGTAATTTCTGCCAAGTCATTAATATCATCCCTTTGGGTAAAATTATATTATAGTGTAATGCATGAGTGTCTTCCTACTAACATATTAAACTTGTCACTTCCTATCTTAGCTACATTGAGTTCAAATCAAATGTTTTGATCTTTTACTTTAGTAAATCTTGTATTTTTGTCAGAAATATTTCCTAATGAATAACTTCATAAAAAACTAAATTTTATCCTGCAAATAGGAACATTAACTGCTATATGGAGTCTGGTTGGATGACCTGTCTGCTGAGAACACATCCACTTAGTACATTTGTGTTCCCCTCAGCCCAACTAAAAGACCTCTGTTCTTGCAGCACTGATTTCGTGGATTTTGGAGACAAAGGAGGTGCTTTTTATGATCTTAACAGGATCAACAGGCTCTTTAATTATAATTTAAGCCTATTTTTCTTGCATCTTTAGAATATCTACTTACCTACCCCAATGTCAGAGCTTCATGTATGCTTTTGGAATAGAGATAAAGCCTTTTTCAGATGACCACTTTCTGTTTGATTGTGTTCCTTGCAATTAACAAAAAACAGAAGTTGATTCCATTAGTTTTAAGTTTCTGAACAATTTTATACTATATATGAAGCATTTCTAAAATCCCTTTTAACAGCTTGTTTTGTAGTGGATTTGATACACTGGTCTCTATTACTTCATAATTTCTTTTAAAAACTGATCAGAAAAAAATGGCCTTTTACTATTTTTAACAATAATTCTCTGTCATTCACACACCAGAGAATCTGTTCTTCCTTGGCCATGGTTGGATATTTGCATATTAACTCATCTTTCACAGAACTGGTTTTTATAATGTGCACCAAGTTCACTTGTCTTATCTATCTTTTTTTCTTTCTTCCTTTTTTCCCTAGTATTAAATGAGACAGTCTTGCTATGTAGCTCATGGTCCTCCTGCCTCAGCCTTCCAATTGCTGGGATTACAGGCATGACCATGAAACCTCAATATATTTTTCTATTGAAGTTCTGACAGTGGTAACTTTGTTTTTAAAACATGCTTTAAAACAACACAAACCTTTATTAGAGGCCTTTAGTCGAATTTGTTTAGTACTAGTCAGCTCTTTCTTAATTCCAACCTGTCCTTACCATTAAGTTTTTAAAAGTAGTTTATATACTGGTCACATAAAGCCATCTCATGTCTGTGTTCTTTGGAGTTACTGCTGAATAAAAGGTAGTTTGTACACTGTTAATCCTTTGCCATTCTTAGATTTTTGTATAGTTTTGAATTCTTAATGTTTCTGGAACAGCATTGTATCTCTTGGATTTCTTTTATTCCTTCATCAGATATTTATTGAACATGTACCTTATGCCTGGCTCTGTTCTATGTGCTATAAGTTTAGACTGGAATTCTGCCCTTGAGGAGTTTACACTTTAATGGTGAAAACAGGCAATTAAAAAGTAAAATAAATAAGCATGCTAGAATGTGCTCAGTATTAGGAAGAAAAATGAAGTAGGGTAAAGGGATAAGGGACATATGAAGTGGGATTTGAAAGGGGGTGCCATTTGATGATCAAAAAAGACCCCACTGAGAGGCAGTATTTGAGTAAAGACAAAAGGAGATAAGGAAGTTAAGGACTAGGCACTAACTTGGTTATGCCTACATGTGTTTTTTTTTTTGTTTTTGTTTTTCTTAAGGTGCATTGCATTCAGAATCCAACATATCCCTCTTCCCAAGAATAGCAGCAGGGTGCTTGATGTTGAGAAATTAAATGCCCATTTTAGTCTTGGATCAGTTCAGTATTACATGTATTCTTATAAAAAGTATCCTAAGTGCTTACAAAAGGTAATGACTCCATATCTGAACTGATCAACTAATGTCCATAATTTATACATGGTTTGGGGAAAATCTCCCGAGAGTCAAATAAATCAAGTGTAGGTTAAAATTAGCTTGGTGTGATGGCATATATCTTTAGTCCCGGCACTTGGGGAACAGAGGCAAGTACATCTCTATAAGTTCCAGGCCAACTACATAATGAATTCTAGACCAGCCAGGGCTACATATCAAGACTTTGTGTCAAAAAAAGAGAGAGAGAGAGAGAGAGAGAGAGAGAGAGAGAGAGAGAGAGAGAGAGAGAGAGAGAGAGAGAGAGAGAGAGAGAGAGAGAGAGAGAGAGAGAGAGAGAGAGAGAGAGAGAGAGAGAGAGAGAGAGAGAGAGAGAGAGAGAGAGAGAGAGAGAGAGAGAGAGAGAGAGAGAGAGAGAGAGAGAGAGAGAGAGAGAGAGAGAGAGAGAGAGAGAGAGAGAGAGAGAGAGAGAGAGAGAGAGAGAGAGAGAGAGAGAGAGAGAGAGGATTAATTAATGTAGTGTTTTTAATTCTATAGTGAATTGGCCCACTTTTACATCAGTATTTATTTGACATTAATCTCCAGATATTAAAATCTAATAAATCATATAAAGTCTTTTTCTTAATTGGATCTAAAAACTAATTTGTATAATAGTTGGCTTAGGATTCAGAAAATATTCCTGAATCACATAAGGTATAGTGTATAATTAAATGCTAGCAAGTACATGTGCTTTCTCTCACTTATATCAGGAAAAATGATATCATCATTTATAAAAATCAAAGTAGTACATAATAGAGGCAGACCAATTATTAGCTAATTCTGCCTCTGATTGTAGGTACAAAGGATGCTGTTATTCAAGTGCTTGGTTACCTTAGTAACATTTTGAGACTATTATTATTTCTAGACTTTACATCATTTGTTAAGAAGTTTCTTTAATTTCTTTTTAACTTTATAAAGTTCTACCTCTTCCCTAACTAACTGGCTTCTAGATTTGGTGCCCAGCTCTGTATTCTCAGACCCTTAGATAGATTCTATGATGTAGTAAGAGTGTAGGCTTTGTAGTAGATTGCAGAATTGGAGTTCCTGCTTTGTTTACTAGGTATGAGTGACTCTGTTAGGGTGTCTCACATCTCTGCCCCAATTCCTCATTCTTAAAATGTAAATCACAAAAGAGCCTATGTACAAAGGTTGAGGAAATTAAAGGAATTCACGTATGTTTATGGTCTCTGAAGTGCATAGCATATAATAGAGAGTATGAAAGTGACTGTATGGTTGTTATTATTGCTATATTAGCTCCCATGGTCTATATTACTGAAAGACAATCACCCTGATTTTCAACCCATTTTTCATTTTAGCCCACCTATATCATTTCACAAATCATTACCTCTGACTCTCATTTTTTACCTTATGTGCAGAGTATCCTAGATTTCTTTTTGATAGTGCTCTTTTTAAATTTTATTACAGTCTTCCACTGAATTATACTGCCTTGTACTTAACACTTTATGGCCCACCTCATACTTTCAATCTATTTGTCATTTTTGAGATCCTTCTTGAGCCTTTCTCTTACCAGCTTGGTATTTGGCTACTTGGAGAGGCTTACTGCTCCTTTTTTATCTTTGACTGAAATATGAGACCGTAGTGATCTTAATCTTCCACACTGAAAATCTGTTTATCCACACCATTGTGATGGATGGTGCTATGAAAGAGTATCTGCCTGAAATAAAATAGACAGATAGAGGCTTAGATCCTTCTTAAGTACTCTATAGTTACTGTAAAATTCTCATCACTAAGAGAAACTAATTCTTTGTAGGACAGCTATAATGAGTAGAAACAATGTGTGGAAATCAGTGGGTCATGTTACTAATTCAAATAATTTACTTAAACATTTAAATTATTTGGTACAGGCTGGAGAAACTAGGCACTTAGTAACTGTACATTGCTGCCTCTGCTGCTGCTGCCCCTGCTTCTACCCCTGCTGCGGCTCCAGCTGTTCTGCTGCTTTTGCTGTTATTTCTTGATGACAGGAGACCATGGCGACTGGATATCTGGAATCTCATGGTTGAGAGTTTTAATGACAGTCCATCTGTACTGTAGTTAGATACAGTTTGACTTACAGTTCAGTTAGGCAATATGTTCTTCTCAACTGCTGGTAAATGGTATCACAGTGCTATAAATAAATATTATGAAATTTTCTAACACCAGAATTGAGTGGGTTTTTTTGTTTTTGTTTTGTTTTTTTCTTGTCTAAAGACTATGGAACAACATTGCCTCTTTGAAATGTAGCACAGAACCCTCTTTCCTTAGAAGGACAATAGTCCTTTTAAAATGATACTTCCTTCCTTAAAGACAACCTTTTTATTAATTTACTTCAAGTAGGCTTTTTTTTCTTTTTTGGTTTTTTTCGAGACAGGGTTTATCTGTATTATTTTGGAGGCTGTCCTGAAACTCGCTCTGTAGATCAGGCTGGCCTCAAACTCGCAGAGATCCTCCTGCCTCCTGAGTGCTGGGATTAAAGGCGTGTGCCACCAACACCTAACCAAGTAGGCATTTTCAAAATTTCCCAGCTGCTTATACAACCCAATTTTATGAAAACACATTAGTTGTACTAGCTACTAGAGTTGTGTTGTTCTTTGTTTTGTGGCACTGAAGTAATCTTGAAAAGTATTACAGGTTTCTCCAGTATTAGGTCATACTGAACTTTGGCATGAAGTTGCTGGTTTTTTTTACCCCTTTTCTCAATTTTCTTCTTCCTGTGTTCTCCAGTGAGCCTACATAGAGTCACTGTAAAAACAAAACTGAGATCAACTATTGTTTTGTTTTCTGAGATCCTTGTCCTTGCTGAAAAATTAATAGAAAGACGAGTCTCTCACATATTGTGATGGCGCCTGCCTTTAATCCCAGCACTCAGGAGGCAGGTGATTCTCTGTGTTTGAGGCCAGCCAGTTTACAGAGTGAGTTTCAGGACAGCCAGGGCTGCACAGTGAGATTGTTTCTCAAAAATAGTAAAAAGAAGGAAGGACCCATTGTTGGGGGAAGTCCTTCTGTGTATATATAAATAAAGCACTGTTGGCCAATAGGTGGGACTAGGAGTCTAGGAGCATTCTGGGAAATGTAGCGAAGAGAGTTGTCGAGCTGTGAACCCTGGAGGAGAGAATATAAGTCTGGCGTTCTTGGAAAGATAAGTCCTTATAGAAATATATATTGTTGATTATGGGTTAATGATTAAGTCAGAGCTAGCCAATTCGAAACCATAGCAAATGGCCAACAGCTTCATAATTAGTATAGTGTCTTGTGTGGGAATTAGGTTGGAAGTTGTCTTCGTTTTTAAAATTTAAATGACATAAATACATTTACAAATATGTTTACTATACTTTATTAACCCCTCAAATGCAAAGACTACTAGAAAGAAAAGAAAATTGAAAACTGACTTTCCTGAATTCCTATCTCTAATTTCAGAATTACTGAGTACTGAATTTTATGCTTAGCACCAGTGGTATTCAGTAGCTCTTTCATGGTCTGATGCAGGTAACTTCCTGTATGCTCATGACACTTATGCTAGTGACTCACCTTCTATTCATAAGACTGTGTCAGGAATAGAATTGGAAATATAACTAATGGGTATGGTCTGCGCCACCAAGGTAATATAGAAAAAGGGAGCCAGAACAGTAAACAGGAAGTCTACACTGAATTGATGTCCTTACAGGGATACATGGTCAGCTGATTTCATAATTATGCAAATATTTCATACTACATGTAAGTTACATTGTATGATTTTTGTGTAATGCTCAATCAGAAGGACCCCAAAGTAAAATGCCATTTTGTTATACTACTGTTAACTTAATCAATAATCACCATTTTTCATGTGTGCAAATAGTAAGTACTTTTTGGTAAAGGCAACCTTTTTCTTTAAACATTTAACTTGAAAATACTGATTTGGTTAAAAAGCACTCTTACTGAATCTGTGGGTGTTGAATAATATGTAAGGAGCTAATCCTTTATTTCTTGTTAATTTCTAGCCTCAGCAGTTACAAGTTCTGAGTCTGGTCGTAATTCAAGTGTAGAGTTTAAATGTAATATTCATTTCATATATTTAAGTTAGTGAAGGGTAAAAAGCAAACGAGACTGATTTTTTTGTAAGGTCATTTGGGGCTCTTCCATTCTGTGAACCTCTGTGTGATGACTGTGGTTGTTGGAGATACTGGAAGATCTTCCTCCTAGAATCCTGTCATTAGATCTCAAACCAAATCTTCAAGAACTCAAGTTATGTTTCTTTAAGTAGATACAATGCATTTGGGTTCCTTCCTACCTACCTACCTATTGATCCTAAGTGCACTGGTGTTTTGCCATGGGTGTGGGGCCTCTGGAACTGGAGTTACAGGTGCTTGTGAGTGCTGGGAATTGAACCCA